CCAAAAACGCCTACCGGTAGTTGTGGATTTTTATAAAAAAACTTCACAAATCGGTCAGTGATGTACCAATTATATACAGGCCTGCCAGTCTTACATTAAGACAAATCCTGATCTCCCGGATTTTTTCCCTATTAAATATATTTGTCTAGCCAACTTTCTTGGCAAGGGCTGCTCATACGTTTGGCAGCAAATATTTGATAGCTGGCGCCGTACGTACGATGACGTCCCGTTACGTGTCTACGACACGCTTATTTCAACAGCACACGACATACGGACGTGTAATGCCTTTGAATTACATGAAACATTGCATTAAAAATCAGGTTGAAACTTACGAAAAATTTGTCTAAGGATGCCGTAGATACGAAGTGACGTTCCTCCTAATTAAACTATAAATTGTGAATCCGAAGCTGTGTATACTGTGTACATGAACATGTTTATCAAATTATTTTCTTAAACTGTGATGTGAACTCTCTTATGATTTGTGAACTCTCTTATGATTAGAAGCTTTTGACCTTCGTAGCTTTTGACTTATGTTTTGAATGCACCAGTACAAATGCAATTGCACTGTATCTCGACATCATAAAAATACTCAATGCGGCATAAAAGTCATACAAGCTACACCTTAATGTCTCATTCTCCGAACGATCATTGAGTAATGGTCTCGAATATTAATAGAGTCATCAGATAACACCCAAATGTACAATTCAGCAAAAAAAAGCAAAACAAATCATTTTACGTGAATCATGCAATTAATCTCATACATTCATTCATGGAAACAAAATAATCGCTCAGCGCCCGTTAGAACCAAGGAAGAGACAAACTTCACTCCTACAAAAATTCGGTTTGTAGGCAGATGCAAAAGTCGCTGTTATAGGAATTTTCCACAAATCCATTGAAAAAATATCTAATTTGGCATATTATTTGGCGCTCTTATTTTCGAGGGAGAAGGGCACATGAAAGTAGTTTTCAGAGACCACACCCCGCGCCCGCCACAGTATGGCCCTGCTTAACGCTTATGTTCTGATTTAATTTCTTGCACAGCTGCCTCTTACTGAACATTTCTTGCACAGCTGCCTCTTACTGAACATTTCTTGTACAGCTGCCTCGTTCTTAACATTTCTTGCACAGCTGCCTTTTACTGAACATTTTTGCACAGCTGCCGCTTACTTAACATTTCTTGTACAGCTGCCTCTTACTGAACATTTCTTGCACAGCTGTCCTATACTGTACATGTGCGCGCAATATTTTTTTTCATTTAATTATTGAACGCATTTTTCTCTAAGAATGCCTTCCAGTCACATTTTTGCTTCGGGATTTTATTGCACAAATTATTTTATAATTTAGTTATGACAGAAGTATCCATTATTTGACTTCACACAGACAGACAACTGTGTCATTTTTGATTGTGCAACCAATAAAATTCTTCTTGACAAAACTCACCACAAAATATTCAATACTTCAACTTTTACCAGCGATCAAAGGATAACTGGAAGAACCAATTGTGAATGGTTGAACAATGGACGACGAGAGCAGCTTATGGCGGCCATAAAACCTCGAACGATGCGAGCTTAGGACTTCCTTTCGCCTTGCGATATGGCTGCCCATACACCGGTGCCATATTTTTTTTATTGGTGGAATCAAACTTGATTCGTAAATGGAAAAGAGCATTTAAAAGCGCTGGAATTTACAGATGGCATCTTTAAAACCTATTATTTTTATTTGAGGACATCTATGATGCAATGTCATATTTTTTGTAGTCGTGGAATTAAACTTTATCAATTGATGGAATATATCATTTAAATTTATGGAATACAGAGATGACTTTTTATAACGCAGTTATTATTAATTATGTAACCCAATGATGGATACTTCTGTAAAATTTAAATAATAGAATAACTTGTACATTAAAATACCAAAATAAAAATGTCATTGGCAAGCATTCTTAGAGAAAAAAAGTCTTTTAATAATTGAATGAAAAAATACATTGGGCACAAGTACTTTGGCGGCAATGATGCCCGGTTAAGAGATCATTACAGTGAGGCATTTAGTAACTCGTTGTGACATAACATAGCATAACATAACATAGTTATCTCGGGGCTGAAGTGTAGGCCTGATGTGGCCTGTCGCCGATTCTTTTCCTTCTCGTGCCTTGTTCACAGAAGATCTAATATCGTTTCATTTGGCCGGATATTTTGATGACTGACGATAGTTTGAAGTAGCTACTAGACTTCCACCGGGTTCGATAAGGAGCTAGGCATTTCAAATCTGAACATATATTTTTCCATAGCTTTATCTAGTCTGTTCTTGAACGCGTTCATATGTACTTGGAGCGCCAACGATGTCATCGGGGAGGCTGTTCCACATGTCGGTGATTCGAAGCGAGAAGAAATTTTGTCGCGTGGAGAAGTTGCAGCGCAGTTTTTTAGCTTATAGCCGTGGCCCCTGGTGTTGGTTCTTGTTTACATTAGTTACAAGACTTGACTCGTGACGTGGCATAAGCTTATGTCATGTACTCGCATTACTTGAACTCCTAACGTGACATCAAGTCACAAGACTCGTGACGTGACATTCAAGGCCTCGAGCGTCATGTGGCTAACGCATCGTCCCTGACCTCAATGCTCCTATAGTGGATACCGTGACGTTTACATGTAACGTAATGCTTACCTCGTTATCTCCTCTTGTGACATCATTTATGGCCTTAATGGCCTCATGATAATGTACTGCATGACGTTTACAAGTAACGTAATGCTTACCTCGTAATGCCCTCATGTGACATCATTTATGGCCTTGATGTGCATTATGTACTGCGTGACGTTTACATGTAACGTAATGCTTACCTCGTTATGTCCTCTTGTGACATCATTTATGGCCTTGATGTGCATCATGTACTGCGTGACGTTTACATGTAACGTAATGCTTACCTCGTTATGTCCTCTTGTGACATCATTTATGGCCTTGATGTGCATTATGTACTGCGTGACGTTTACATGTAACGCAATAATAGTGAAAATTCGTCATTTATAAACAGCTGGACGTTCGACTTTGCATTCAGATTTTTTAAGTTAACATTTCTGATGACGTTCAGGAATTTAAATCCGTCTAAATATACACATTTAACAATTTGATCTAAAATTCATTCTCTTGTCTAATTAAGATTTATTAGATAAATGTAATGAGCAGTGTTAGTAAATAATGTTTCTAACAATAAAAAATATACTTTTTATTTGCAACATTATCGTAAGTTTAAATGTAATCGATCATATAGTAAGGCAATGAAAATTGGACAGCAAATTAGTTACTTACTCCAGTGAAAAGTTTGTGAGGTTTAGTGAAAGTTATTTCCTGCCTCGCCTCCACGTGTAATTTAGCAAGTGTCATAACGCATATTTTCTATGATAGCGAAACGGCATGAAAATAAAACTTTTATACATGTGATAATGATTACGTTTTATTAATAATATGCGGAAATGATGTTGAAACAGTACCAAAATTCGGAACTGCAAGACAAAAAAATAAGAGAAAAAATATGTATGAAAATGTGCAGAAATAACTCCAAACCAGAATTATGTGAGAGAGAAGGATGGTACGAGAGAGAAGGTTGCTTGTATGGAACCGAGAGCGAAAGTCATATCGAGGCAGGAACTTTGAAGCGACCAGCGAATGGCAGAGATATTTGTACCTGCCTCTTGCCCTTGGTTGGGCAGTTCAGTTTCCTGCCGCTGCAGGAATTGGTTTCAACGTTAATGATTCGTAATGGGCCCAGCGAGAATTTTTACACGATTGTTACTTCAAGCTTAAGCGTCGTAAAGTGTCCAGCACCGGGCCTTTTTGAGGCTGTCGCTGCGTTAAGCGAACAGCAATCGAAAGCATATATCGAGGCGCTGAGCTCCAAGCAAAAAGAGGTTCATTCTGTTCTCTGCGGTCTAACTAGGCCACGGTGCAGGAGACCCACAACTCACCTTATAAAAAACTTCTTGCTCGTAATTCTGAAGAAATATGAAGTGGGCGCAAGCGGGTGCGTTGAAACCTGAGCCTCTTTCTGTATGAATGATAATTTTGAACTATAAGTAAACTTTTGACCAATTAACAAATATATTATTAAAACCCGATATCAAGTTGTTCTTCGATATACGAGGCCATAATAATACTCGATTTGAGGTCGTTAAGATTGCTTGACCAGGACCTAGCCAGCATTTGTACATTGTATACAATGGTATGAAGCACTGCATTGTATAAACTCTTTGATATCACCTATATACATTAACTGATAGTAGATGTGCAATGAATGAATTACGCATAATTCCTCCATTTAAATTTTATATTGCAGCTTACTTCCATTGACGGCAGAGGTGTTGAGTCTCGCACTCAAACCCTGTTTTTTTTATGTTCGATATCAACGAATCCCAATTTTTAAACCTTTCTTTGATTTTAGAAAACAAAGAGAAGTTGCAGAAGATTTGCCGCTTTGGCTCAGTTCTGTAACAAATCTATTGCAAAAACGGCCGTTTTGGTATGAACTTTTAACTCGCCAGTAGCAGAAAAGCGGCTGTTTCGGCTTTGTTTTATACCTTCCCCCTTTCTGAAGACTGGATTTTTCGACTCAATTTTGCAATTAACATGTTACAGAAGATAGGCAGTTTTGCTTAAGCATTGTTACTAGCCCGTTGCATAGGAGTGGCCGTTTCGGATAGGTTTTGTTAATATAGCCGGTGGCAGAAGAGTGGCCGTTTTGGCTCAGTTTCATAACAAATCGATTGAAGAAAAGTAACCAATTCGACTAGTATTTTTAACTTACCCGTTGCAAAAGAGCGGCCGGTTTTTTTCTGTAACTAGTCTGTTACAGACGAATAAATATCATAGCTCAGTTTTAATTCTTGTAATGCTATGAATTATTTCATATCTTTTTCAAACCAGAGCTACCAAGTCTGTTACAGACGAATAAATATTATAGTTCAGTTTTAATTCTTGTAATGATATGAATTATTTCATATCTTTTTCAGACCAGAGCTACCAAGTCTGTTACAGACGAATAAATATTATAGCTCAGTTTTAATTCTTGTAATTATATGAATTATTTCATATCTTTTTCAGACCAGAGCTACCAAGTCTGTTACAGACGAATAAATATTATAGCTCAGTTTTAATTCTTGCAATGATATGAACTATTTCATATCTTTTTCAGACCAGAGCTACCAGGTGGCCGACAGCACCCCCAGCGCCCAGAGCTCGACTCCCTCCAAGACGTTCGTGGCGTGCAAGGTTTGCGGCGACAAGGCGTCAGGCTACCACTACGGCGTCACCAGCTGCGAGGGCTGCAAGGTGCTACAATTATTGATATTCTCATGACACTAATTTGCTCTCATAATGATGATGATGATTATTATTGCTTTATTCTCTGCTGCGTGCGTGATTTTGGTCAATCAATAATATCAACGAGTTTTATTGAGGAGCTAAATAAACCTTTATTTTTAACCAAGAAAATTAGGTTTTATTCGGCGAACGCCTGACAACAATACAATTGAGGCCTGACATTATTACAGAATCGACCGATTTCGAAATTAATTATTTACAATTAGATGTTCAGAGAACGTAATTACATAGAAAATTTGCACATTAAACCACAGGTAAAACTAATCTGTTATAATATATTATTTTTACATTACTTTATTAAGTTTAAAACCGAATAGGGAAATACTTTCGTACTTTTTAAATTTTTTTCTCCTCAACATTAATCGTCACGTTCTAATATTTGAATTTCTGGGCAGGGCTACTTCCGGAGCAGCATCCAAAATATTTATTATTTTTTCCTTACTCTATTAAGTTTTAAACCGAATAGAGAAATACTTTCGTACCTTATAAAATTTATTTCTCTTCAACATTAATAGTCACGTTCTAAATATTTGAATTTCTGGGCAGGGCTTCTTCCGGCGCAGCATCCAGAAGCAGATAGAGTACCGCTGCCTACGGGACGGCAAATGCCTCGTAATCCGTCTCAACAGAAACCGATGTCAGTATTGTCGCTTCCGGAAATGCATCAGCGTCGGCATGAGTCGTGATTGTGAGTAACTCGAGTCAACATCATGGTCTTGGGGTGGGAAATTTTTATTTAAATTTTGTGTATGTTATTGTTGGTGTTTGGGATGTGAGTAGCTCAAAATAACATGTTCATATTAGGAATGTTATTTTTGTCATGCTTGGGATGTTATTATTGATGTGAGTAACTCAACCCGATATATCATCGCTGTTGATGTTGGGAGGTTATATTTGATGTTGGGAATGTGAGTGACTCGAGTTAATATTTTGTTGTTGCGCGTATTTTCGTTGACAACTCTTTTAATGTAAATATGATGAATTTTTAGCCATTTCTTTACTTTTGAATTCTTGGTTTACGTCGTTTCAAAAATTCAAATTTTCATACTTCCCTTCCATAAAAGTGACGATTTTGTCCGGTTTTGTCACCATGTAGAAGACTAGAGCGACTAAAACTTAACATTGCCACAACCAGCAGTCCGGTATGGTCGAGTGCCCAAAAGGTCTCGAGAGCGAGAGAGCCTCGACTCCCGGTCTCCCAGCGCCCCTCCTACGCCAGGGTCTGCAGCAATCGAGGGACCGCTTACCCCCACCGGTCTGTCCTCTTCATCCAACGGCTACACTCCAGCCTGTGATCTCCCTTCATCCCAAGGTGATATCTTTCACACGCCACCTCATGTGATCTTCCTTCATCCCAAGGTGATATCTTTCACACGCTACTCCATGCGATTTCATCTCAATGATAGCACATACCCACAACAATACTACTTCCATTTCTCAGCATTCCCGAAATGTTCTCTCGCCAAGAGACATATATACTCCTTCTTTCATCACATCTCAACATGCAATATTGCATGGAGTTTCGAGCCATCAGCCTTCCCATTTAATTTCAACTAGACTAAAATAATTTTTTCTCGGTAGGCTATAATCTTTTGTATCAAATTACTACAATTCTTCATTAGGGTACAGATATCTTAAACATTTCATGTCGGACAATTACAGCGTATCAAATAAACGTTTAATTTAGTTCGAGAATAATTCATTAAACGAGTAAGCCTCAACAGCTCGTATGATTTACTTAACATTAACTTGACTACATTTTCTGTGAACGTGCAATCAAATCACCATGAATTTAGAATAATTTTTCACGAAAAATCAATTGTTATTTGTTCGATTTATCCGTTCGGGATCAAACGATTTTCATTTTTTTAGATATATGAATATGAACGTGTCGTAATGTATTCTCAATTTGATACGACTTGAATGATTAGTATAAAATGATGATGTTATATTGCAGTTTTAATATAAAACGCAAATAAATTCACACATAAAATTGAATGATGATTCAGAATGATGTATACAAATTTGCTTAATGATATCAACATTACACAGGGCTGAGTAACGGGTCCAGCAACGGCGTGAGCAGCACCATGAGTAACGGCATCAGCAACGGTGTGGTGAACCAAGTGATGATGGGTAATGGTAGTGAGAGCTGTATTGATGATGGTGGTGATGGAGCAGGAAGAGCACGAGTGGTGAGCTCATCATCCATGATGGAGGTGGAGCACAAGCAGGCCGATATATACGACTTCATCATGGCGGTGTCACAAGCCCACTTCAGCACCTGCAACTATACGGAGGACAAAGTTAGAGACCTTGTTCGGAAACCCGTTCTTTTTGTAAGTAATTTTAAAAATTACTTTTATTAATAGGTGCTAAATTTTTTATTCAATTCTTCGCAATTATTTCTGTATTCCTTTCGAATCATCCATATCCTTTGTACATGTGAAAATTAAAAACAATGTTTCTCATATGCGAATCCCAAATAATCCAATAGCCTCACGCGGAAGTATTAGAAAAATATTTATCGATATGCTAACTTTAGACACAACACGATCTTTACATCCATATTTTGATTCTTCATAAATCATGCAATAGTTATCCTAACTTAGGCACATATTCAGATTTATTCATTCAACGAGCAACATAGATTACAATTTAACTTTTTGTTCAGAACTCAAGCATCAGCGACCCGGACGAAGCGAGCAGCACTGCGGATGCGCTGGACGACCAGAAGATCCGCCTTTTCCAGGGATTGTCGACATGTGTCAGCCCATCCATACAATCCGTGGTTGAATTCGCCAAAAGATTGACAGGTATACAAGATTAAAATGATATTATCTTGTAATGTTTCGATTGTCTAGTAATTAGGTAGAATATTACAACATAGTAGATATTGCACATCCGGACCATGCAGGAGCACAGTTTAACTCGATCAATCAGGATTAACATGTTATTGTTATTCTTTTATATTGAAGATGGTTAAGTACAGTAGATATTATCGATCAGGAAAAAACATGAGTGCACGATATCCAAATAGTTAGACCAGGATTAACAGTTTAAGGTTGTCCTAGGTAGAAGATTACATTACTGTAGATAGACGCCTATAGCAAAATACCGAAGCAGAGTAATTCCAATCGGTTCGACTTCATGCTGAAAATCAATTATTGAGGACAGTTTTGAATCTATCAGTATACTTTAAACTGATAAAGCAGGTCAACTTTTTCAAGGTGTGTTTTTGGATATTGAAGTTTAGGAAGGGTTAAAAATATCAAATTCTACAAGCAATATCTTTTATTTCATGGCTCACCAGGCACTTCTTGTCTATCTTTGAGCGTCAAAAGTGCTACTAAAACTTGCAATTGTTTTCTACGGTCTATCCAAGTTTCTTCATATTGTATTGATTTCATTTAAATCCATACCATATACATGTTTCTAAAATTGACATTTTGCATACCATTTGTGTACAAATAGTATGTTCTTTTCCAGGTTTCAGTTCGTTGGGGCAAGATATCCAGTTGAACCTCATCAAGGGTGGATTCTTCGAGCTCTGGCTGACACGCGTCAGTCGCGTCACCTCGTCTTTAGACAACACACTAACCTTCGCCGACGGTTCTTACGTCACGCGACATCACCTCAACCTCATCTTTGACGTGAGTTAAGGAGAAACAATGGTCATTTATACATTTATTTATTTATTTATTTATTCTGCGAAGTTATTGTCGGGACGTCTGGCATAAATAGGCCACGGGCCTATATCTTCAGTGCCGACACTTCTATTCTATTCTAAAACTTCGAAGGCACGTTACAACTTATAAATAGGAGCCCTGCGAATAAGTTTGAAGGTGAGCACAATGACTATTCGCGAGCCGAGTATTACGATAAAAACAGCAAAAAGCATCATTAGTATTCGTCACAATTGGTAACTATTACAAATATGTCGAAATTGTAAAGTTATTCGAATTCTTTGTCAATGAGGTTAAATTCCATAGAAAATAGTGGCAAAATTCGGAAATTTAGTTAAAGATTTGTCAGCTTTTGACAATTGTTTCATTCTGCTCCCATGGACTTTAATTTCAAAATGCTCTACAGTCATTTTAATATTTCCTTTTTTCAGGTTGATTTCGTTGACTCGCTCTTCAACTTCGCCGCGTCGTTCAATTCCCTGGGACTCCACGACACCGGCATCGGGTTGTTCTCAGCCGCTGTTCTCTTCACGCCCGACCGCCTGGGTGTCATTGACAGGAAAAATGTCCAGTATCATCAAGATCGAGCTATGGAGGCTCTCCGGACTCATGTAAGTCAGGTACTAGTGCCCAAAATAAACTGATCTTGAAGCTTATTCGTCATGATGACATCGGCCGAAATAACAGGGAGATTTCATTAAAAATCCCAGATATTGTCACGACATGATCAGTTAAATGGCTTTGAGAGATTTCGCTTAGACCCATGAATATTGTCATGACATTTTGCTCAAAACGAAAGATTTCTTCAACTTGAAACACTGGTTTTCTTAAGAAATTTCACGTAAAACCACAGATGTCGATTATCGCTCTAGCAACAACTTTTACTGAGAATGATCCCCGTGAATGGCATGGGGCGTAATATTTTTTTTGCTTCACTTTTAAACACTGTTACACATATTTTTACCTATAAACTTATTATCACACTTTAAATCGTGATGATTAAAATTAATTTACTCAATGTTGCCGTATATTACAGACGTCACGAAGCCATCCCATGGACAACAGTATATTCCAAAGTCTGCTCAGTAAACTTCAAGAACTTCGCAAGATTGGAGGATGCCATCAGAGTCACCTGCAGTGGTTCAGGGACAACTGGAACAGATTGGAACTGCCTCCACTTTTTGCAGAAATTTACGATATTCGACAAGACGAGTCGAAACTCATGTTGAACTGACTGGGTGAGGCCTTGAGATAGCATGTTGAACTGACTGGGTGAGGCCTTGAGATAGCATGTAGAACTGACTGGGTGAGACCTTGAGATAGCATGTTGAACTGACTGGGTGAGGCCTTGAGATAGCATGTAGAACTGACTGGGTGAGACCTTGAGATAGCATGTTGAACTGACTGGGTGAGGCCTTGAGATAGCATGTTGAACTGACTGGGTGAGGCCTTGAGGTAGCATGTTGAACAAACTGGGTGTGACGTTCACGTGATTCATCAAATGATTGCAGAAGGGGTGCTGACAAGTTTTAAAAATTGATCAGTCATAGATTGTCAAGTTTCAGAACAGAACTTAACTTTAGAATGCAAATAAAATGTAAGTTCAATTTTTACAAGCTTAAGCTTAACTTCAACTGAGTTAAGTATTTACAGTTTGAATTAGATGAAGATGTTGATGAATACATAAATGGTATGGTTGATGAATACATATAAGTACTTATAAATGATGTTGTTGCAGGTCCGAACTATTAAAACTTAAGTACACGTCACAACCATTTTTTTTCGTCTGTGATCAGTGGGTTTTGCTTTAGGAAGCCTTCATGTACTACATAGCTACAAACCAGTAATTATTTTTGATAGTACGGCCGCAGGAAGATGAAATGAATGCATTGTTTTCAGGCGCGTTGCAGCATCTACCTCGAGCGACCTTTGCCTCGACAACTCTGCCTGCTCCACTCTTCCTCTGCCCCCTTCATTAAATTCACCACCAGCTTGAAAATCAGTCGTCTTCGATACCAGATTTTTCATCAGTTCTTTGAAACAAATTATCTACACGTAAATTACAATTCTCTCATCATAAAATAATATTCGTTCAACTATCCTCGAGACATCTTTTATGTACGAAGGGCTTACGATAAAACGAGTCGAAGCATTTTCTGGAAGTCTACAAGCGTCTAGATTCTGCATCTCCACTCTAGATTCTGCAAAATCACCAATGTAAAGTTAGTAAAGCTCAAATTCGTGGTTGTTTACTTGGACCACTACACGTACAACTCCAACGAATACGGAAGCAGATTAGCCGTTACTTGAAGTAAATATCACGCAATTATTCCGATGTTTATTAGAAAATATCAAGAAAAATATTTAACTGAATTTTTGGGGTGGTTTTAACGGCCCACGATGTACGATACACGAACTAAGTAACTTGAAGTGCGGGTTTTAAATGCGAGTTGTTTAATGGTAGTTATTTTTGATGACAAGTTTATTGGAATAATTAGAAGTATGGTTGGTAATCAATTTAAACCGACACGGGCGGTGTGTTATCGCCAGGTAAGATATCCGAAATTACCGCGTGTAAACTTATTGCGAGTGAAAAGATTGGGATTCGTTCCCCAAATGTGGAATTATATATTTTTTCAATTTGTTTGATGGAAAATGGAATTGTATGTGAGAAAAGAAAAATTTACAAACCAGGTTTGAAACATAGATATATCACATTAATCGCAAAGCATAAGCTGGAAAGTTCAGGAAGTTTCATGCAGCTGCTAGATATGATTTTTCGTTGTTCACAACGATATGGGAGACTTCAAACGAGTTTTATTGAGCAGATGTCCCAGGACTTCCGATGAGTGGGAAGGTTACCTCTTGTGCCTCTGACCATTTCTTGTTATACTGTTATCCGACTGTGTTCAGTTTTGTTATAATGAAACATTGCGGTTAAATGTCTCGTCGGTGTTGCTGTTCTCCGAGTTGTCTTTTGGACGATACGATAATCTTCGAAAGTAACTCATGATATTATATGCAAACTTTATATTTTATACAGAATACTATTTCTCAGCAAGGAGCCGTACGAATTTTTCAATTTATTGGCTCAGAAATTCTTATGAAATGTGAGCCTGGCTGGTACCTACTCATAATTCTAGGAAGAAAATCCCAACCATGAATTGCAAAGAATCTCAGACTAATTTTGTCGTCGTGGTGATTGCCAAGGATTTGGAGAAATCATAAAATGGAGAAATTATTGTCGTTGTTGCAGTATAATATACATTGCAAGGTAATTAACTGGATATTGATGGAATAAACTCTGAATTAAATACGAGTGTTCTCATGCAGTTTGACCGTAATCTAGATAACCCTAGAGTAGAAGTTAATTTAGATAAGAACAACTTGATGCTGAAATTATTCAAATGGCAGCACCCGTTGAGCTAAGCTTCTTAGTCGTTCTCGTGAAGTTATTTTTGGTAGCAGGAAACTAGTGAGAATGTCTAGGTTACGTTTAGCCCTGTTATTAGTGATGTAAATAGGTAGCCCACCCACCCTAGACTATCGCTCTAGCCGCTCATTTGTGAAGTACGTGATAAACTGTGCTTTGTAGATGTCTAATATAATGTAAGGCTTTGCTAAGCGCACAGAAACTGGGAGATTGTGAACTGGAGTGCAAAGGACACAGAGTGAACTGGAGTGCAAAGGACAGAGAGTGAACTGGAGTGCAAAGGACAAATGACGAACTAGAGTGCAAAGGGCTGATGGCGAAATGATGTGCGAATAGAAGATGGTGAACTGGAGCGCAAAGTGCAGGTGGGGAAGTGGAGTGTAGATGATGGATGACGAAACTGGAGTGCAATGGTGGATGGCAAACTGCATGGAGTTCGAATGTAAGATTGTGAATTGGAGTGCAAAGGGCAAGTGGCGAAGTGGAGTGCAAATGGAAGATGGAGAACTAAAGTGCAAATGATGGATGACGAACTACTGTGAAAACCGCGAGCTAGCGACAGCGATTAGAGATCGATGAAAGTGATTAAGCTAGAATCGAGAAGCTTGCGGATAAACTTTGTTTATTTAAACAGATTTTACCTTAGCAGTGAAATTACTCGTCCTTTTAAGGCACTGTCATAACCTCGCTCGAGTTTCTTGAAAAGAAACGTTAGGAGTTTAGCCCTTCAACTTTTTGGTGTTCAGCGAATAGTTCCTAGGTTAATTGCTGAAAATTACACTATTGAAATTTCTCATCATGACTTTAGACATAAGCTTGTTTGGAGCCACATCTTTGTCAGAATTTATTGTAATGAAGTCAGAGCTCTCCAGGAGGCACAAGGAAAAAAAAAAACATTTTGCAGATTTTTTAGTTACTCTGACAAATTATTGCCGTTTAGGCATGCCAGCCGTACATTGAAATACAGCCGTAGTTCTCAGCACAAAACAGCATAAATTACGATTTCATTATCAGAAGAAATGTTGCATTTTCGCTTCATGGTTTGTGTGTTATTTTCTCTCTTTTTATTTTTTATCACTCCGACGTGCCATAGTGTTTACTTCACCGAAGTAGACAAAATATAAAGGTCATTGCAAGCAAAATAAATTGACCTGAATTTAACCAAAAGTTTTAGTTATGAATGGTTCTTAGTAATCTAAAAATTAGGGCACAAGAAATTATGGAAACTGGTTTTCTGAAGAATCGAGATGGACATTAATTTCCTAAATAATCTTTCATAATGCTTGACATAGTTTGCGATGATAGAAAAATTGTGCAAATTTTCATTTCTTCTGAAAATGCTAGCTAAGAAAGTGTGGTCAGCGTTTATTTTTTAGGGCCGAGAGAAGGAATTAGTGTCGAGGTTGAGACCGATGATGGTTGCTTAGAACAAACTGTATACCCCTCACCCCAATACATGCACTCACCTCTCGTTCGGTTCCAGTTGATCGATTATATTTCATAGACTGACCTGTAGATCGGTAGACTCATGTACCGTGAGACCTAATTTGGAAGATAAATCGATTGGTTTCGATATTTGTTATCACGACTAATGGAACTGAATTTGAGTTAATTGAACTTTTTTGCTTACGTCGAAAACTCAATAATTAAAGTAGATTGAACTTTTTTGCTAACGTCGAAAACAACAATATTCGCTGAATAAAATTTTCATGGAGAGTATTTTAAATCGTAATTGTCACTCAGTTCATATCCGTAAAGTAATGTGATGAAAACCTAACAGATATACTGTATTATTGTTGATCGATTTTTTATTTTTCAGGTATCTATCCTTGAATATTAATTAATTTCGACTCGAGAGGTTGCCAAGTCGATAAAATTCCTTTGTAATAGTTCAAAAGCCCGAAAAACTATTTTTCGGGTGGCAACAATCCCAAATGAATCCCTGCCCGTGGATTTTTCTTTTACATGAGTTATGCTTCAATCCAAGGAAAGTCTTATTGCAAAGTAATTGTGAAAAGTAGATTATAAGAGACGAAAAAATGGTAATATCATGTAAATATTTCTATAGCTTTGGGTGACGTAACTCAGAAACACATTACAGATCGTAGCTCCTTGCCTGAAAACTGCGTACTCTAGATTTTGTGTTGTACCCTCTGGTGATGATCTGTCGTGTAATGATTGTGCTGCCATCGAGTATTGTTCAACCTTGAAAAATTCCGGCTTTCTTCCACTGAAAAACTCTTGTTTCGTTTGTTCAACCGTGAAAAATGCCGGCTTTCTTCCACTGAAAAACTCTTGTTTCGTTTGTTCAACCTTGAAAAATTCCGGCTTTCTTCCACTGAAAAACTCTTGTTTCGTTGGTACGATCCTTGCTGTCAAATAAGAATTGCGAGGCCTTGAGGATTTCCTAGCCTTGGGATTGAAAGTTGTTATCATTTGAGAACCCATGTTTCGTATTCACGATCTTTGTTTTTGTTGTGTCATTCGAATAATGCAATGATTTTTTTTATTTTCAAATTATATTTATAAATATTATCTTCAAGATTACTTGCGTTCTTCACTGATGAGAATTCAGATTGTACGTGCAAGTTTTGACTAAAGGTTCAATATTTGTACGATTTTAAGGAAGAAATCTTGTTTCGGTTTAATGTCATCATTTATGTAGATGTTTAATATGCCTTACATTTGTGTTGTGAATTATATTACAGTAAAATCATTCCTCTGATGTGCTACAAACACGTTATTTGTAAATAATGTTCATGTCAGTCATGTTCATGTTGGGCGCTCAAGTGATGCCTATATGTTTTGAAGGCAGTTTAGAACTCGTAAACAATTTTGAGAGGCAGTCACAATTTATTTTTTATGCCTCAGGTGCTGCAGAAATTTCAATGTTTTTTATAGGCTTCGATCTCTGAGTATAATTTTTTCGAGCCATTTGACCTTTTTTCTGTTAAAAACAAATGAAGAAAATTGCAGCTCAATTTGTACGAGATCTCCTAGCTTCATGCTGCAGTTGCGGCCAAAAGATGAGCAGTTTTCAGATTTATTTCAAATTGTACATCTTTTGGCCGCAACTGCAGCATGAAGAATATCTCGTCAAAATTGAGCTGACATTTTCTTATTTTCTTGATATTCAAGCGTATACAATTTTAATGTTTTTAATGAAAATTAATTTTTAAAATATTTTTAAATACATCTCAATTAAATATTAGAAAAAAGTCTTGGAAGAGAAGCACAAAGAAGAGGTTGAGATGTGTACCTTTGCTTGATATGCGAAGGCCAGCCGAACGAAGAACTTCGGTCGTTATTTGAGTAATTTACGCAACTTAGTTCGTTATTTGAGTAATTTACGCAACTTAGTTCGTTATTTGAGTAACTTACGCAACTTAGTTCGTTATTTGAGTAATTTACGCAACTTAGTTCGTTATTTGAGTAATTTACGCAACTTAGTTCGTTATTTGAGTAATTTACGCATGCATCCTTTTAGTGATGCGTCCCTGGCGATTCTCAGTGCTCAGTTCTCAGCAACTTTACATTAGTTAATTTGTAAATTAAACTTTAGAAGAGAATTTTTCTATTTGAAATGTATTTCCGTGTAACTAGTTAGTCTTGTTAAGTTAATCTTCGTCTCATTTGTGGTTCTCATGTTATTGTTGAATGATGTATTCTTATGGAATTTTTTGGTTGTGTTTTTTTTGCAGATTGATGGTCTTTATGGACAGGAAATAATGTTAATTATATTATCAGAAACTTAGTTTCCGGTTGACTGAATCTCCTTCTTCTGGAGAGGCGAAATGATTGGACTGTCTTGCTGTGGAAGTAGTTGAAGCCAACATTTTCTCAAGTAAAACATGAGCAGAAAATAATAATTGTGATCTACCTCCACTCATTGATATTATCTATCATTGGAATACATACAGCCTGTTGTGGAAATTTGGTTTCGTTAGCGCCGTTAAGGAATACCGTAAGCGTTAGATTACGTTCTACAACCATGGAAAAATCAGAGACCATTAAAATATTCTGAAAGTTTATTTGATCTTCATTTTCTTTAATTATGGGTACGAAAATTGTATTCGTGAATTTCTAAACACAGAATTTAACTTCGTTAACTAATAATTCTGTTTAACTGTTCAATTGGTTTTTGACGGCTTTTCTTCTCGTTGAATTCGAATGACGATTGATATTTGTCCTGACACTGAATACTATTGATCTGCCTATGCTAGTTCAGTTTAATTAAATGAAAACGCAACATCACTATGAATCACGCTCGTAAAGTTGTTATTTATTTCTAGAAATTTTAATATGGATTTTAGTTCATTGTACATATACATTCATGTTCTAAACTTAAGTTGTAATTTTATCAGGAAAACTATAAGTTGTACAAATTATCATCGATGTGGAAGCAGGCGTCCGTTATAAGATCATGACATGTGTTTTATTAGCATCTGCCGTCAGACAACTTTATTTGGAGTGACAGCTATTTTAGAACGATGCGTTGAAATGGACTGGAGAACAGTATAACAGCAGAATTCGCTTTTAAAGAGTCAACAAATTTAGGACGAGTGCTTGAGGTGTAAAGATATGAAGATTATTTTACGAAATAACTTGCTAACAGTGCAACAAAAATACAAATGTGCTCATAGATAGATTTTACAAGAAAAAGTCGATCATTTCGTTCCAAACCATTCTTTCAGTGAATTAGCAGTGGAAAACCATATCATTCAGCAATTCACATTTAATTCAGGTAATTAAATTTCATTTGATGTTCTATTCCCAACTAGTGAAAATGTTTTAATCATATTTCTATTGTTCCCGTTTTTTTTTATTTAGAGACCAACCAGTTTGCTGCTATATTGAGGAAAGATACGTGGAGAGACGAGGTTCTTGAAGGTTTTCGTTTTCTCAAATAAACTTCATCAAATGCCTTATTGTAAGTCACATTTTCATAGTGTTCATCAACAACGAAAAAAATCAATGTGGTTCTAGAAAGCAGCAGCGCATACGACAGTTGCTTTTCAATGATTGGCTTTCAAATTAATTGAAGGCGAAGCAAAGGCATTTGCAAAAATTCTAGCAAATGCAATAATTATTACACTCAAATGCCATAAATTTTTAAATAAATTAGTTTGGAGATTCAATAACTCGATACCTAATTAAACAGACATAAATATTTCCGTCATGTACATAAATTTTAAACTTTCGACATGAGTACGGACATATTTAATGCATGAGTTGATAATTTTTACTGAGTGGGTACTAAAAATGATTTTTGTTTTTTAATGTGCGAGATGACGTTCATGTTTCGTTTGTGTATTGAAATTCTCCGCCAAGAAATTGTTCTATTTTGATAAGGATGTAATATATGCCACACACGAAGGATGTTTGTCAATGTTTATTAACCTTGGGAGTTAATTTCATCAGAACAGCAACGCTGAACGCTCCAACGAACCCCACGGCCGCGATGGCATCAGGATAGTTGAGAGAGTGAAAAATTCTACACAATAATTGAGCGTAAAATAAAAATGAGAAATGTTCTCTCCTACGCGAGATAAACTCGAAATGTGAAGGCAGAAATTCAAATAATATGATACTTAAACGTAGTCATTTTGCGGAATGCGTTAAAATTTGTCATAATCTTGTTGAAGATTTGAAAACATTAAATTTATTTCCAATGAAAATCGAACAGTGTAATTCACCATAGAATATTTCTGATGAATTTAAATTTTAAATTGCTGATTAAATAGGAAATAAAATAGTTACAATTTCTCCATTGAATTGGTATTTTATTATTTAATTAAGATCATCAATAATCGTCATCGGTGCTCAGATGAATAAATTTTCAAGATATAACTACAAATTTCAAGAATTCCGTTTTTTTCTCAACGTAACCCGAACAACTAAAATGTTTAAATTTTGCATCATATCGCGAAATTAAGTTTTCAAACAGCTTCAAACATAAATTTCGTCATTTCTAAAATGATGATATTGATGTAAGAAAACTGGAATCTCGCCGTTATTATTTCTAATTAATTATTGTTTCTCGCCCTTAATTAATTAATTAAGTGAAATTAATAAATACAGCAGTGCTGACACATCATGCAGGTTATTAAGTTATTATTGTACTGAAAGTTAGGATTTGTTTAAATGTTTTACGGCTCGACTGGCATAAGTGGGTTAACCAGACCTTTTGAGAGACTTTGGTTTGGAAACATGGGTTAAACGGACGCACTTACTTTACCGGTTCTCCATATTTTATTGCCGCGAGATATAATAAACGATCTGCCAATATTATAAGTGATGACTGATAAGTGAGTAACTATATACCAGTTAATTAACTAATAAACTAGTCAATATAGTTGATAACTATTGCCATGGTTCAGATCTCATTTTATCGCACATGTAAGGGATACAGGTTTCGTTTTATCGCTAGTGTCCATTATTCAGGTCTCATATTATTGCAGGTTGCCACGATGCAGGTGTTACTTCATCGCAGGGGCGCTGTTGACATCCACATCATCATACTTGTTGATTCTGTTGTTCAACAGCGGTTGGTGGTTGTGGAGAGGCAGGCCCTCCAGGTCTTCATCGTCCAGCATGCTGTTCTTCTCCATGCTATAATGATAACAAATCCAAACATCATTTCAATCCGAGTAAAGTTTCAAGCAGTAAAAACCAATTAATAATGGGCTGAAGCCCCAAGAAATTTCTATATTTTCTATCAAAATTATGTCGAGTGAGCAAAATACGTGAGCAACACATATGATAGAATACGTGCTTAAAAATGAACATGCGAAAAACATAAATATACTGACATTATGAAGAATCACAAGCATGTATACCAAGAAGCATCAAAATGCAGTTCATTCATTAAACAGTTTTTCTAGGGAATATCAGACATTAATAGCGGTTTAAAGCCGCATGGAGCAGACTATGAACATTGGGCAGAAAATCGAGAAAAAGTATATTAGTACAATCTAAATTAAAGTACACATGAATGCAAATAATACCGAGGAATAGTACAATTTTTTCTACGAATAACTAAGAATTGAACTACGTTCAATTTTCGAACTCATCCATACATCTGACTTATAAAGTTTTTCGACTCACTTGTTAACTCACTCAATTTCAGTCACAGAAGAATTTGACTAACGTTAGTTCGAAGCGTGTTGAGTGTTCTAAATAGTAAAATTCTGCACTCACCGAAGACTCTCAATATTCCAAATCTTGAGCGTGTTGTCGTAGCCTGCAGTGTACATGCGGTTGCCAGCGATCGCCAGACACTGGACGCTGGCGCTGTGGCCTTCGAACGTCTCCTTCAAGGCACCGCTTTTGATGTCATAAACGCGGATGACAGAGTCTCCTCCGGCCGTGAAAACTGAAAATAAATTAGTTAATCGTTAGAAATGTTTTAGAGCCATCTTTTTTTCTTACATTTTAAACCTCACGAGTCCTTCGGTTAGGATGAATATAATTGTTATTAAAACAAATATCATAGTTTTTTTCGAGCATAATTGTTACCAAAGATAACTCACGCAATCCATTCTTGACGTGGATGACCACAAGAGAGTCGGTGGCGTCGCGGTAGACGTTGGTGCAGTCGCCGAACTCCCGCACCCAACAGCGCGCAGTGCAGTCCTGACTACACGAGTACATCAGGCGGTTCACGATGAGCAGGTTCATCACGGGAGCATCGTGCTCCTCCATTACCTGTACACAAACGGTTAATTATTAATGGTTGGCAATGAGCAGGTTCATCAGGCTACTATCGTGTTCCTCCGCTACCTGTACTAACTGTTAATGATGGTTAGTTTACCATTGGACGAACTGGAAACACCACATAATTATTGTGCTCCTGTGCTCCCACGTCCCCAGAACCTCAATATAATCTACCTTTTCTCGTTTCTTTCAGTATTATACGATTATGATTATCACTTACCATAACTGGTATGCCTATGCTAAACCACCTAATAAATGGGATTACGGGGTTTTGTATTAACTGTACGCCATAAAATTCGTAACATTTTTAGAAGTGAAGTCAAAAGAGAAACAAAGTATTCACTTTCCAAATGATGGCAATCGGATACGCAATCGAAGTCTACTATAAATTATTTACACTTCGTATAATCTCTAATAAGCAAAGTAATCGTGGACTTCTAAATCTGAATTCTTACTAGCTGCATTAATTGACCATTCAAAATTATAATTCTTTAGTAACATATCTTTGAAATAAAAACCTTATCGCATGTTATACGAGCTACTGCTGCTAAAATATTAACTTTTTCAATTCAAGTTATATATTTAGGAAAATATGAGACCTTTAGACATTTCAAACATTAAATTCGAGGGCGTCCTGAGACATTATCGGAATAGAATTGCGTAATACCTTACACATTATTATAATACGATTCTAATATATCCTTAGGTTTATTCAAATGAAATGATTTGAAACTTATGTGCAAACCTCCATCTCTGTCGATCATGACGAACGACAATGTCGGCCGGAGAAGCCTCAATATAGTAATTATCGGAGAGGATCGTTCTCCAATATTTTAAGAATTGATGAAGTAATTTCATTTCAGCAAAAGCAACGAACAGTGGATAGCACTTGTACTTAGTGGCGAACAAAGAGACTTTCTTATTGACCTTGCATTTTACATGACTTCTCTTTAACTTCACTTCATGTTTGATTGTTTGTTTGTCTGCTACTAATCTTATAATCAATATTTAACACACTTCTACCAGTTCAATCGATCTGAAATTTGCACACTTGCGTAAAGCCGGAGACAATGCTTGAATCAATTGACAGAATAAATAATTTTAGAAATTTATTACTTTGTTTATATAAATAAATGAAAAAATAATTTTTTTAATATTTAAAAATAAAATTAGAAATCCATTGTACAAACATAACATCGGAGACACTGGCCTCTTTAGAAGTGTTGTCTTCAAAAAGTATTTATAAAGGCATATTATTAGTCCTATAAGTAAACCAGTAGAGTTTCGTGGATACCGGAGTTTTACCATCATACCTGTGATGATGAATGAAGTCTTGAAGAAGGTTAAAAATTTAGTACAAGACCAAGAAGAAACTTTCAGACTGTCAGGAAATGTAACTGGCCGCTAATATAATATAATCGTACCCTGAGACACTCGCCGCGTTGGATGTTCCAGGAGCGGATGGATTTGTCAGCGCTGCCCGTGTAGAGGACAATGCCTTGAGCATCCGTCGTCATGCATGTCACGGCCGCTCTGTGACCCTGCCATAATGTTATAGTTATTCATTTATTCATTATTGCGATCATTTAGCAGATCAATTAGACGTGATCATTTTAATTAGATCAATAAGAAGTGCGGAGAAGGATTATAGAGAGTTATTTCATTCACTTCTGGTCTATAAAAAATGCGTGTATTTCTTGTCATAATCTCAAAATAATTTTTTTCCTCAAGGGAGGGTTTCTCACAGGGTTCAAAGAAAAATCCTCGAGAGGAAATGATTCCAATTTGAAAATAAAACCATACCGAAGTCTAGCCTACGTTTTAAACATTATCGAAACTTTCTAAGCGCTATAACTTTACCTTGAGCGTGTGCAGGCACTTGGCCAAATCAAAAGACCAGATCTTGGCCGTGAAGTCTCCGCTGCCTGTGATGATGAGGTCGTTGGGGTTGAGGGCTTGGTCGGTGAGGCTGCCAGGCGTGTAGTACTCGTCGTCCGCTGAGATGTAGATGATAGGGTACACCGACTTGTTGTGGCCCTAGAAACATATGTTCAAAGTTGTTATAGGAGTTCATTATTAGGGATGAAAAAGATTTGATGAACTTATTAATGATTTCAGTGACTGAGAAAGAGTTTATTAGTTATTTTCTAGTTCTGGGATGATTTGTTTGGTTTTAGTGGAACGACCTCTTTCAGTGAAAGGCGATTGATGTGCGATATACATGATGAACATTCATTTGCTTGAAAAGCATTAAATTACAAGAATGGTATTCATTTGCTTCAATGGCATTTATTTGCCTGTATGACATTCATTTGCTTGAATGACATTCATTTTCATGAATAGTATTCAATTACAAGAATGTTATCCATTTGTACGAAGGACAGTGATTTACCATAGCGACATTCGTGTGCACTAAGGACAATGATTTACTCGTAGGATACTAATTTCAATGAATGAAATGAAGGGACAAAAGACGTGGGACAATGGATGTCCCACGAACGAGATCCATAGAAATTAAGGCTACCTTGAAGGTCCTGATGCAGAGCAGCTCCGAGTACTCCTGCTCTGTGAAGTCCTCGGGACTGTCCGAGAGCTCGTCGTCGCTGAAGAACCACGCACGTGCGGTCTTGTCGTGCGACGTCGAAAACAAGAACTCGTGGTTGCAGATCACGCGGCTGATGCGCGCTGTGTGGCCTGAAAATAAGATTTGAATGTTATATGTTCCTTCAATATTCTTTGTTTTTTTTCAATATTCTTTGTTCTTTCAACATTTCAATATTATTTGTTCCTTCAATATTCTTTGTTTTTTTCAAATTCTTTGTTCTTTCAATATTTCAATATTATTTGTTCCTTCAATATTCTTTGTTTTTTCAATATTCTTTGTTCTTTCAATATTTCAATATTATTTGTTCTTTCAATATTCTTTGTTTTTTTCAATATTCTATGTTCTTTCAATTTTTTTCTTTGTTGTCAATTTTCAATATTGGTTGGTGTTGTTATCACAATATAATTAATTGTTTAGCACTGCGTGTCAACAATTGATAAGCATGCGAAACAAGTTGGTTATGAGGAATGAACTGTTCACAAGGTACGTTTAAATACAAACACTTGAAACAATAATTTCAAAAAATAATTATAACCATAATAGACGTTGACGCAGAGGCAGGTGGTCATGTCCCACTTCCTGATGGTGGTGTCGTTGGAGCCCGTGAAGGTGAAGGTGTCGGCGATGGTGATGCAGGTGATGTAGCTTGTGTGGCCTCTGCGGTGAAGAGCAAATATTAAATATTATAATTATTAATATATATTAAATAATAATATTTTATTTAATATTTAAATATACTAAATATTATTATTTTTATTACTAAATATTAATATAAATACTAAATATTAATATTTTATTTAATATTTATATAATTAATAAATATTAAATATTAAATATTATATTAAACTTCTCGTTATAAATTGTTTTACAAATTAGAATAGAAGTTACTCGAATAAAATAAAATAACAACGTTAAAATTTATTTCGAAAACAATCTGGAAATGCGTTAATCGCGATAATGAGTGAATGAGAACATATACTTATGATGCGCAGTTAATTGTTCGTATGTCAACACAAATGATTACAGACTTCTGTATTGGATATTTTGCAATTGCTGACTTCCGACCTTATGTGATAATTCTTTTATAATACAAAATTTTACCATTAAAATTGTCTTTCATTATATATATTTTTGCCAGTATCTTATAAAAGAATTTAATTTCAAATTTCAAAACCAAATCTGACTCTGCGGTTGATATTTAACCTTCTACTAGTGGCAGCAAATTTCTCAGAGACAAATAGACAATTCTCAAGTCTAAAGCCAAAAGACGCGGGAATTCTTAGATTAGAGGAATTGATTGATTCCGATTGATTGGAATTACGCCAAAAACAGAACAGTTCATCTTTACTAATTTACACTCAGAGATAAATAGACAATTCTCAAGTCTAAACCTAAAACACTCACTCAAAAGTTCCAAGACACTCGTAGTCCTTGTCTTTGAGATCGTACATCTTGGCGGTGCAGTCTTCAGACCCAGTGACCAGGACGCTCTGGTCTTCAGACAGCGCCATGCAGTTGATGTCTTTGGCGTGGTCTGCGATGGACTTCACGAGAAAGGCGCTCTTGTCTTTGCTACCGCGGCCCCCCATAGCTGGGCCATAAGAAATTCAGGAGATTTAAATAGCTAGTGAACTTAGAAATAGAATTACTATTGCAAATAAGCAATTTGGTATGTTACTATTGCAAATAAGAAATTTGGTATGTTACTATTGCAAATAAGCAATTTGGTATGTTACTATTGCAAATAAGAAATTTGGTATGTTACTATTGCAAAATTTGTACTATGCGTTAGTATCGAGAAATTTATTTTTATATTGCTAGATTGGCTCCGCTGTTGACTAGCGTGGGAATATGTTAATTACTAGTCAGAAACAAAAAAAGTGAGCGGATGTTTTGCGTTTTGCTTCACTGTTATTAATAATATTTAAAACTGGAAAAACAATGAGTAATAATGTGGAAGAACAGAGTGTGAAATCGAAACAAAAATAACGAGTTGGGGCACGCAAGGCGCAGTAATGCGCCAGAAATAATGACTCTTGAGATGTTCTATTAAATCATTGTTATTTAAAATAATGTTCTATTAATCATTGTTTTTTGAAACAGTGTTCTAATAAATCATTGTTCTTTGAAACAATGTTCTGTGAAATCATTGTTCTTTAAAACAATGTTCTATGAAATTATTGTTATTTAAAACAATGTTGTATAAAATCATTGTTCTTTACCACAATGTTTTATGAAATCATTGTTCTTCAAAAATTTAAAAAACGTTCTATTTAAACCATTGAGCATTGGTTTGAAATTGAACCACCTCTATGTTAATTGATTCCCGAATAAAGATATATGACATGCCATAAATAAAATAGTAAATCAAACTTCCGAATTCACTCTTTACATTAGTTTTACAATCGTATTTGCATTAGTGTATGCGTCCTCATCCATTAAATTTATCAATCATTTTATAATAATTTATTTATAATAATTTATAAATAAATATAAATATTTATTTATAATAATTTATCAATTATTTAGGTACAAATATATCATATGTGGTTTTCATTAATTTAATTTGCATTTGAATAATTTAATTTCACATGAAAAAGCTGCTTTAATTAACCAAATGATTTTTTCCTCCACATCGCTCATCCTCTTTTCTTGTAGTGATGCAAGTAATTGATCAATGCATTTTAATAAACGTATTAAATATTACAAATAATATCTTAAGAAAATTGCCATCATTCAACGCTTCACGTGATTAACACACCGGAAATAGAAAAACGACTATCTACAGACATACCGCCAAATTATTGAAGAATTTGAACAATTTTTTTTCAAGCGTTAAGTCTGAAGGTCGATCGAGGCTGAGAAAGACTAAACAGCAACTGACAACCTCTCGTGAAAGCGAGCTCTGGTCGTCATAGTGCGGCGCACACAACATTTGGGCTATGGCAACCAACTGCCTTAACACCGACGTCATATTCAGTCAAAGGTCGATAATAACGATTGCCTTAACACCGACGTCGTATTCAGTCAAAGGTCGATAATAACGACTGTCTTGACACCGACGTCGTATTCAGTCAAAGGTCGATAATAACGACTGATAATAACGACTGTCTTAACACCGACGTCGTATTCAGTCAAAAGTCGATAATAACGACTGTCTTGACATCGACGTCGTATTCAGTCAAAGGTCTATAATAACGACTGCCTTGACACCGACGTCGTATTCAGTCAACGGTCGATAATAACGACTGTCTTGACACTTGATAATAATACATAAATTTCAGCTCTCTAAGAGATTAGTGGCTATGTTCAAAAGTCACACGTTTTATTTTCGAATATGAATTTTTTTGGCCAAGCTGATTAAATTTCCCCCCAAAAATGGCAATAGGGTAAATTGAATAAATCTATTTTTATGCAAAATACATTCATTTATGCGGATGCATGCGTGCATGACTATATAAAATCTATGTTCGTTCCTGAGTCTGACCGTCACTCAATGACTTAAGGTAAACAAAAATCACCTGATGTTTCGTATATGTTAATCTCACGTTCGATTGCCGGTTGCTAAATGTAATTATTCCTATTCCAAGTTCAACAGATAAGTAATAACTTGTGTTCGGTAACGCTTGTTCCTACTACTATAACGCTTGTTCCTACTATATAATTCTATATTTACGCGCACGATATTGACACGACTCGTCTATATTCACGCGTGTGATATAGACGTACTCGTTTACATTCAGGCGCACGATATATAGACGTCAACTCGCCTACATTCGCGCGTGTGATATAGGCAACTCCTGCTAGTATTGAATATTGGTCCATTTGGTGTGATATTTAATTATTTTACTTCGTTTTCTGTACCAGATAATGTTTGGACAATTACATTGAGAATAAATACTGTTTTAACAACAAGTCGATTTTTAGCGCAAGTGAAACTACAGTGCGTTGACTCTGGCAACTTCCGCACAAAACAGCCAGTCGAAAATATGCTAAGTCCTTTATTGCCTTTTAATGTTGTTGCTCTGGGATAAAAAGTGATCTCAATCCAATATACGAGTTTATTGAATGGTAAATATAATGCATATGGGTATTTCATGCATATTGCCATCGAAGTTAATCAACCCAAATTTATTATGGAAAAGTAAATTATGTGTCAAAGACCCGTAACGAAAAGCCTGTTTGCATTTTATTTTCATTTATTTTAGTGCGTCTGAGAAGCAAAAAAAAAAAGATTTTACGACGAAACTGATTTTTATTTATTGATTTTTTGCTTTCGTAATATATAACACAATCGTCTTATTCCATTAAATGATTATTGTCCTTAACTAATATCAAGATAATTCCCGCAAGTTTTTAATTTTTACTTAAAAACTAATATTGATTAATATTTTATTTTATTTTTTGTTCACACATTATCTTCGATACCGACTCACGCGAATTTCATGAATCACGATGGACGTTATCTCACAGAGAAAGTATTATTGAATAAGTGCGGAAAAAAGAGTTCTAACATCATTACTGTTCAACACAAATCATTTAAAAATTAGTATAATTTATAGATTAATTCATAATATCTTAAACTTCGAATATTAGTGTTATTATTACCATTTTATACCATTATTTTCAAAGTATATGATAATTAATTATTAATTGATAATGCGTATTATAGATGTACGTTTAATTTTCTTGTACGCGAAAAAACTTCAACAAAATATCACCAGCAACACGAGCGAAGATCGTCCTTGATAATTGAAGATGGGTACTGTATGGGGCGGCTGAAATTATCCTGAAGATTGGCGTTTCGATACATGATTTGGTGCAAAAATTAACATCATTCAACGGCCAAATTTCAGCGATCATCTTAGGGATCTAACGAAATTGGAACAACCGGAATGAGCTGCATTTTTTCCATCACTGAGAGGGTAGGTAGGATTGTAGAAAAAATGCAAAGTAGTAATAAACGGCATGTAGATGTGAGAATAATTTTGTTTGTGAAGCAGGTTATATTAGCATTGGTAAAAAACCTTGATATATAATATAGCTTCAAAACCTAAATTGATTGATTTCCAAATGCAATTTCTTAAACAGAGCGACATGTCAAAAATTTCCCAGAGTCCTGAAGAGAAAATTTTGTACCGACGGTCTGTTCGTAGTCGCATTTCATAATTCAAGTTTGAATTCCATTGGGAATGTTTTAGTATTCTAAATGGTATACAATGAACAAGCGTTAGTGGGGATTAAAAGGCTGCATTCATTTTATTTTTAACGACTCGATGGCTTGGTCATTCAACAGAAAACGACGGTCAGTGGGAGCCGCAGGATCACCCGCTATTCATGTCCAAGTTGTCGTACACGAGCAGGTGTTCATGCGATCTAGCACGACTGATGTCCACGTTGTCGTAACCTCCATGAATCCATTCGATCACCCACGATTTATGTCCCTGTTGTGGTACAAGTTGATGAGGTCATGGGATTACCCTCGATGTCCAAGTTGTCGTACCCTCAATCTAATTCATGCCCAAGTTGTCATACCCGCCTAGGTATTCATGCGATCTCCCACGACTGATGTCCACGTTGTCGTAACCTCCATGAATCCATTCGATCACCCACGATTTATATCCCTGTTGTCGTACAAGTTGATGAGGTCATGGGATTACCCACGATGTCCAAGTTGTCGTACCCTCAATCTATTTCATGCCCAAGTTGTCGTACCCGCCTAGGTGTTCATGCGATCTTCCACGACTGATGTCGACGTTGTCGTAACCCCAATGAATCCATTCGATCACCCACGATTTATGTCCCTGTTGCCGTACAAGTTGATGAATTTGGTCATGGGATTACCCACGATGTCCAAGTTGTCGTACCCTCAATCTATTTCATGCCCAAGTTGTCATACCCTCGATCTATTTCATGCCCAAGTTGTCGTACCCGCCCCGCTGTTCATGCGATCTCCCACGACTGATGTCGACGTTGTCGTAACCTCTATGAATTCATTCGATCACCCACGATTTGTGTCCCTGTTGTCGTACAAGTTGATGAGGTCATGGGATTACCCACGATGTCCAAGTTTTCGTTCCCTTCAATGTGTCCATGAGATCAAGGACTCATGTCCACGTTGTCGTATCAGTCGATGGCTAATTCCATCAGCCACGACTCATGTCCACGTTGTCGTACCCACCGATGCGTCCGCTTTGCTCGTCCAGGCTTTGCAAGTTCAGTTTCGGGCTCGAATCTTCGTCGTCATCTTCAATGTCTTGGTTTTCCTCCAGACTGCAAAATTATCCAGAGCTGTCACTCACTTTTAATAATATGTATAAACTGAAATTTATATTTTTCGCAAGCATTATTCAACATGCATAATATTGTTAGAAAAACACGCAGCAAATGCAATCGAAATAGTAAATAATAGTGGTGGCTGTTCGAATATTTTTCACCCCTAAAGCTGTACGATGTCATAATGTCAGCATGAAGCTGCAATAGTATGATGTCAGCATGAAGCTGCAGTAGTATGATGTCAGCATGAAGCTGCAGTAGTATGTTGTCAGCATGAAGCTGCAGTAGTATGTTATCAGAATGAAGCTGCAGTAGTATGATGTCAGCATGAAGCTGCAGTAGTATGATTTCAGCATGAAGCTGCAGTAGTATGATGTTAGCATGAAGTTGCAGTAGTATGTTGTCAGAATGAAGCTGCAGTAGTATGATTTCAGCATGAAGCTGCAGTAGTATGATGTCAGCATTAAGCTGCAGTAGTATGATGTCAGCATGAAGCTGCAGCAGTATGATGTCAGCATGAAGCTGCAGTAGTATGATGTCAGCATGAAGCTGCAGTAGCATAATGTCAGCATGAATCTGCACTAGTATGATTTGATCATGATGCTACTGCAGTTTACTTCTAATCTATACAGGAAAATCTCCTTTTAAATGAACTCCAATTCTTTAAATGAAATTGTTGAAAGAACTTGGGAATTTTGAGAGGTTTGAAAAGTTATTAAATATGTAATTTGCTTCACCTGTGAGAGTGCCAAGTAAGCAATGTAAGCGTTACAAACGCAATTCAAAGTTAATTTCGGTTCGATAACGTATAAAAATTATGTTTCGATAAGCCATTTCCTCCTAGTTAGGGAGAAATGTTAAATCGTTTCTGTCGCGCGGCAACTTTCGTCTCATGGATGCGCAGTAAAATGCATGCGTTATGAAATTATTGAATCTTTTGCACCGGTACGGGATTGTTCCAAACATTGAAAATTTTTGTAACCACGAATAAACATTCATGAGTGCACATGCAAGATTTGAATAAGTGAACTCACGCATTCAAGTCTCGATGGTATGAAATTGTTCACTTTCACGCTCAAGATGCATAATTATGTCAATAAAAACTCGTCAAACTGTGAAATTCTTTACAATTTTGATACTTATTGCAAAAAAATTTGGAGCTCAGGTAATAATCAGGTAAAAGTATGGAGCTCAGGTAAAAATATGGAGCTCAGGCGAATAATCACCAAGCATACTTGCAGAGTTCGACGACGACGTTGTGTGGAAGGATGTTATCACTCATATTCTTAAAAAGCCTGACTGTTTGTATTCAACTTACAATATCTTACTAAAGAACGAACTCGAATGAAAAAGGTAGGAAATAAATCATGGTAACCTCACTCTACACCTTGTTTATTAGTTGCAACACTGCAAATGCAGAATATCATAAAATAATTTAACAGTTTTCAGTCTATATATGTTGACTTTTTTATAGCGTTCGTAAAGCACAAAATACTGAGGGAGAGTGAAGGTCTGATGGGAATGATATTTACCTGATTGCCCTGCTCTTTGCCTCATTGGCTTTATAATTACATGTTTGGAATAATTATTAACTCGTTATTACAATTACATTATTGTTATAACGTGACTTACTTGTCGCCTGACACCAATGAAATTTTCCACTTCGGTGGTCTTGAAAGAAGCGATCTTTCCATTAACATCACTAACTACTGGTTACGTGAAGAAACAAACATGTGAAGAACAATCCGCACTACAATGATGTCTACGTAAGCCGTGACTCGATTAATTTCGGAGTCTTAACCACCAAAGCAAATGCCGTTAAAAAAACGTGTAATCAACATTATTTCAGCGTCAAATGCGCGGTGGGATTATGTCGGTTGTAAAACTCTCACCGCCTGGTCGGGACTGGAGGAGGGAGTGGCGCTGCATCTTCATCTTCTTCTTCCTGAGGTTCCTGATCTTGGCTGTTAGGAAGTAAGTTCATGCATGCGTGGCTTTAGAATAATTAGGATTTTTTATCCGCGGTTATCTCTTCACGGCCTGCGTGGCAATAACGTCCAGTCGCATTCGCACTTCCGTACAAAATCCTTTATTTTTAATTTATAGAATTTGGTTTTTCATTTTAGAAGATCTAATCTCTTTAATTGATTCATACGCCACGGAGCTTTAAAAAGAATACTTAGCGAATAAAATTCTCTTTGAAGCAGTTCCTTTGTGAAGGGGGACTGTACCCTTATTTAATTCTTCACTCGAGGCGAGAAAAAGGTGGAAGGCATAAAAAGTAAACGGACACAAAACGCCGATTTAAAAAATTGTGCAAAAATAGTTGAATGGTGTAAAAAAAATTTTAGTCCAAAAAATCACATCTAGGATCCAAAAAAGCATGCCTTGGATCTTGGATCGGGTTAACTTACTCTTAATATTTATAAAAATATGTTTTAATGGCGATACTGAAAACATGTGGCGTTAGGTAGCAAGCCCTCGCTTTCAAAAAATTTTCAATTATTCTGAGACTGATTTAAAATATTCACATAATAACAATTTACAGATGATCAAAATTTCATTCTAACAATTGAGGTCATAATCTAAACAAATGTCATTTGCATGGAAGCACTAAAATGTTAGCGCTTCCATGCAGCCTAAAGCTTTGAATGTAGCCTAATAAGATAAAAGCTTTGAATTTTCTTGAAGAGTCAATGATTAAAATTTCAATTTCTCAAATTTCAACTTAATTACGTTGGATTACTGACACAGATGAATTGATGATTTAATATGTGCTATTAAATTTATTCGAATTTTTTAAATTTACTCGGATTATTTATTGTAAAAACTGAACTATTTATCTCAAAAATTTACATGTTATTAGCTTTCATAGCGTAGCGCTCAATGAGCGGCTTTTTTAAAGTCAAAAAAAGTAAAGTAAAGCTCTCAGTCACTCTAATTCTTAAAGTAATGAACTCCTAATTCTTACCTAACTGAACAATTCTTATGTCAACCAACAGCCCTCAGTCACAGTAAACTTTAAAGTAATCAACTCAAAACTTTGAACTTACTGAACGTTTGTTAGATCAACCAAAAGCCCTCACTCACTGTAAACCTTAAACTAATTACCTCCTAATTTTGAACTCACTGAACGTTTATGTCAACCAACAGCCCTCACTCCCTGTAAACCTTAAACTAATGAACTCAAAATTTTGAACTTACTGAACGTCTTTAATGTCCCACACCCTCAAGGTTGAATCTGAGCCGCCGGTGTACATTTTGTTGCCGACGAAAGTCATGCAGAGGACGCCCGTCATGTGGCCCTGGAAGGTCTTCTTCAGTGCCGCGGTCTTGGGATCGTAGGCACGAGCGCACGTATCTCCGCTGGCGGTAAACACTGCAAAAATATCCGGTCATTGAATCGGTAAACGTAATTACCTCGGAATAGTAAATAGTTAATTCGCTTATTATTCCGAGTACAATAACATTCTATAGCGAGAACGCCAAGAATTCTATTACTTTATTGTTATTATTAGCGTACTCGCTCAATTTATATTCTGTTGAAATTAATGTACATCCGGAACAAATGTGTAATCTGTTTTTGGATTTTGCAACAAATAATCTCAGTTGATGTGCAGTTTAACGCTGACTACGAAGTGCTTAATATCAAATAAAGAACGTGTATGCACTAACGTATGCCATTGGTGTTTTATATACAATAAAGAGCGTGTATGCACTAACGTATGCCATTGTGCAGCTTGACGCTGACGATGGAGTGCTTAGCGCCTCTGTAGACTCTGGTGCAGTCGCCGAACTCGCGCACCCAGCAGCGCGCTGTGCCGTCCTGACTGCCTGAGTACAGCAGGCGGTTGACGACCGTCAAGGAAATGACGGGACCTTCGTGGCCTTCCATCACCTGATCGCAATAAGTTCGTTGCTATTTCAAAGCCATTTAGTTAATTTAGTCACCCACACGATAAAAATTACACCTCTGCATAAAATTTTGTATAATTTGATCCTGTATAATTCCTTGACTAGTCGAGAGTGGCATTTTCCAATGATACACGCCGAGGCGGATTTGTATCGTAACTTGGGACATTTGTGTCGTACCCTGAGACACTTGCTTCGTACCTTGAGACACTTGCATCGTACCTTGAGACACTTATGTCGTACCCTGAGACACTTGTTTTGTACCTTGAGACACTTGTATCGTATCTTGAGACACTTGTATCGTACCTTGAGGCACTTGTATCATACCTTGAGACACTTGTATCATACCTTGAGACACTCGCCGCGCTGGATGTTCCAGGAGCGGATGGTCCTATCAGCGCTGCCCGTGTACAGGGTTCTGCCAGTCGAGTCTGTCACCATGGACGCTACGGTATCTTTGTGCCCCTGAAGAAAAATCAAAATAATTAGGGAGAAAATAATATTCCAGTGGCTCTAATGAACGAAATAGATTATTTGCAAAACAAGTAATATACTAGTTATGGAATCAACGGTACTTTCGAGTACATAATGTGCGACATAAAATTATTAATGAACAGGAAAAATGCTAGTTTTTAATTTAAACTCCTCTGAATACTCCTGAAATATACAATTATTTATTCGAGTAAAACATAGAGTATGAAATAAATACTCTTTTCATCATGAGAATGTTCATATTAATGCGAATGATATGTTGAATCTAAGGTTTCGTTACCGTAGACTTACCGCAGCCGCCTATAATTTCAGCCTCAAACTCATAAATAGCACACTGGATCAGAAATTGCTGACTCACACTCATATTTGACGTACCCAAGCAACAATTTTTGCCTCAGACTCATATTTAAAGCTTTGAATAATAAATTTCTGCCTCAAAGACTCATATTTAGCACAATGAGACATGAATTTTTGCCTCAAATACGAAGGTTCATCATACTGAGACAGAAATTTCTGTATATACAGTACATGTAAATCATCCGTGACTACTCAGAGAAAGCTATTGCTATACCTCAGACTCACCTTAAACGTCTGAAGACAAGTTCCGTAAAGAAAAGACCAAGATTTAGCCGTCTTGTCGCCGCTGCCCGTAATGATGATGTCGTTAGGGCTGATCGACATCTCATCAGGTGATTCTGCGCCATCATCAGGGGCTGGGATGTAGATGATTGGATACACCGCCTTCGTGTGACCCTGAAGTGATATTTAGTAGAAAATTTTTTTATTATTATTTCTGTCTCCAATGTCAAGACACTGTAGCTCCAACACTGTAGAACCAATTTAGACTTACGCAAATGACAACTGTCAGTCGGAAATCCACGAAGCGAAAAGTTTAAAAACATTTTTTAGACTTAAAAAAATGACATAAAAAATTTAAAAATTAAAAAATTTTAGACATAAAAAAATTTAAAATCATAAAGCTCATTCCATTTTTATCAACTGATTCTCGTCAGGGACTGTAAATTAGTTGAGCTTCCTCCCTAGGTTCTTTGTGTTAATGGCCATGAGGTGCGTTCAATAATTAGAGAGCAATCAATGGCGTAAACTACAAATATTTTATTATCGCACTAAAGCCAACCATATTTTCGTTAAGACTTGTAAAAAGCTAAAATAATCAAGCGCCTCACTCGTTGATAACTATTCAACTAATTATAAGAATTACAGATGATAAAGTACTATCCATAAAGATAGAGATTCTATTTCTATTCCATATTCAGATTCAGAATCGTCCATACTATTCAGATTCTAATCGTCCATACGTTCTATTCAGAACCGGACGATTCTGAATACCGGACGATTCTGAATACCGGACGATTCTGAATAGTGCATTTAAAAATAATCTGATGAAATAATTAATTAAATTTAAGGCAATTTGCCTTGAAAGTCCTGATGCACATGGCGTTGTCGAGCTGTGCCTGCGTCAACTCGGCAGGATCGTCTGACAAGTCCTCCTCATCAAAGAGCCAAGCCTTGGCGCTCTTGTCGTACGACGTCGAGAAGATAAACTCGCCCGTGCAGATGATTCGCTGAACGCGAGCTTCGTGACCTAAAGGAACGTTCTCAAACATAATTTCTTCTTATTATATAATTAATAAGAATAATTAATAATAAATAATTAATAGAAGAATAATTAATTAATAGAAGAATAACTAATAATAATCTTAAATTATATAATTTTTCTATTCCATACTGAATAATTCGTACCGCCGAGTTTCGTACTGATCCGACATACTAAGTTAAAGATATTTAAATTTGATGCTGATCCTATGTAGTAAATTGTCTCATATGAATTTCATGTTGATCATGTATAGTAAATTCGTCTTCCCCGAGTTTCATTGTGACTCGACATAGGTTATTCGTCTCGTTTGAATACATAATAATCCTCCATACTAAATTTGTCACTTGAGATATTTCATAAAAAAAATCCTTTTCATCACACCTGCGCAATACGTTTTATTTAAACGAGTTGAATATTGAGCAATAGAAGTTAGAAATCTTTGGTCTTTGCGTGATACGATATTGATTAGTGAACATGTAGCATTCCCAAAAATTTCTTTAACATTTAACCAAATTTTCAGGTTAGAAATGCCTATTTTTTGATTGAAAACTTATCCAGAGCAGAAAATTTTGAATAGTTATTGATTGCATCAAGGATGAAGCAAGTTTCATAAGTGTGGTATACAGTTTAATCACAGAAATAATGTAATAGATAATATTAAAATATAACTTAATGATAAAATTTGACATAATAAAGATTAAATGCATACCCCTGTAAACGTAGACACACTCGCAGGTGGTCATATCCCACTTTCTGATGGTCTTGTCGCTAGACCCTGTGACGACGAACACGTCGCTGATGCCAATACACGTGATGTAGCTCAGGTGGCCTCTGCGGGGAATAAGGTGCATGACTTGATTACGGGTGTAATGGAGGTAAAATAATGGTCTCTGCGGCAAATAAGGTGCATGACTTGATTACGGGTGTAGTGGAGGTAAAATAGTGGCCTCTGCTGGGGATAAAGTGCATTAATTGACTAGGATGTGATGGAGGTAAAATAGTGGCCTCTGCTGGGGATAAGGTGCATGACTTGATTACGGGTGTAATGGAGGTAAAGAAATGACTTCTGCATGGTCTAGTGGAGCTCGACGCATGCATCTATGTACATATGGCTCACAGCATCACGTAATTTTGTTGGAAGATATCAGTCGTATTTTGCAGTAAGATTAAAAATGCTGTATTTTCTTAAGATTTGAATACTGTAGTTTCTATTGCAAAATTTTAAGATATGCAAATTATATTTTGTTCTACAATTTTCAAATGTTATTTCGTACGACGATTTGCATACTGCATTCTGTTGCAATATTTTCAAATCATATTCTGTAAGAAGATTTATCATCATCATCATTTACGTTAGTATTTTGTGGAAAGATCTGAATTCTTAATTTTGTCTGCATTTGAGGGTGATTGGCTAACGGTGATTAGATTTTACGATTTGATGTGAAGTGATTAGACTTAACGACGTTCAGTCTAAATGTACAAATAGCAATTTTTTCTATTACTTGTATCTCGGACTTAAATTTAACAAAAAATTAGTTCTGATGATTAACCAGCATTAAATTTGGTATACTTTTTTTATGAATTGAAATTGAAAAAAATTAATGATAGTCATGACACAAATTACCAATTGATGTAACAGGATCATAAATACTTTAACTTAAATTATTGACGTTTGAATGATTTAAGCCGCGCAGTGGTTCCCAAACTTTTTCAGGCTGGCGCCCCCCTTGGCTCCCGAGTGAATCTCTAGCGCCCCCCCCCCCGCTGACAGCCACACATAAAAACAAACGCCTCTTTCTTGATATTTAGTATGCTGCAATTTTGAAAGAGAAAGGTAAAACACAGATCTTTCCAGAGGCCCCCACAGATCATTCCACCGCCCCAGGGGGGCGATATCGCCCACTTTGGGAACCACTGCATTTTAAGCGTTATTGCGGGAGCATTTCCACCAACTTACATGTGACAAACTCTTAAGAATATAATACTATAGATTATTATGTATCCATTAATTAATATTGTACCTTCATGACATTCTACAGACTCACTTGAGAATGCCGAGGCACTCGGTCTCGTCGCTCTTCGTGCTCCACATCCTGGCGGTGCAGTCTTCTGAGCCCGTGACCAGCAGACTCTGGTCTTCAGACAGCGCCATGCAGTTAATCTCCTTCTCATGGTCGATGATCGTCTCAAGGAGACGACTGTTCTTATCCTTGCTCGCGCCGCCCCCCATGCTCACGATCCAAAACTAGGCAAAAAGCATTTATTTTAGAACAAAGATTCGTAAAGAGTTCAGATTTTTCGTTTTTTTTTGAAGAAACTGATAATGATCAATAGGAATTTGAATAAAATATCTGGAACGCAAAGTTCGGGTCAAATTGGATGTAACAACTAACATTTTCAAGGACTATGTATAGCAACGACTCATTTTATTACTTAATTGTTTAACCTTAAATTGATCAAGAAGGTTTGAATTTGTCATTAAAATGAAAGCTGCAGGACAAGACGGTGTTTGTACGGACGTTTACCTTTTGATGGAGTTTATTAACGTATCGATTTATCCAGCTGTGCGTACACTGGAGTACGTACACTTCTACTCAACTAAAAAGTATACATACTCTCAAGCTGCATTCATACTCGGCTCTGTTGTTGAAGCTGTACAGTAACACCAGATTACGATAGGGGTCAGGGTGTAGTACAGAACCTTCATCTATCTAGACATTTTAATATTGAATAGTCACAGCTCTGAGTGCACTTAATTAGGAAGAGCACACTCGGCTTCGGCTGTACACTTTGACTCAGTGCACCATCAGCTACGTGTTTGTTGGTAGCAAGCTGTACAGTAACACCAGATTACAATAGGGGTCAGGGCATAATACAGAAACTTCATCTATCTAGACATTTTAATATTGAATAGTCACAGCTCTGCGTGCACCTAATTAGGAAGAGCACACTCGGCTTCGGCTGTACACTTTGACTCCGTGCACCATCAGCTATGTGTTTGTTGGTGGCATTGCTAGGTCATGACGTTTCCTGGTAACCTATGGAGATTCTCTGCGTCACAGATCGGCCTTGGAAATCGATGGTGCTGATCGACACTCGCATGCCCCCCTCGGGTATCGATACCATTGAGTGGATGAATAGCTGGCGTCAATGCATTTGGTTGAATTAATAGTGCATTGACCGAATGTCACTTTGGGATCGATAATCTCGAGATTTAATAATCCTGTTTTCATGTATCCCATTAATATACGTAAGAAAGTCTTTAAATACATGAACACATGAAAATCAAAGTAACTTGGAAATTATTATAAAGTATGTGAGCATGTAGGTGGGATTTTTAATACATACTCGACTTAGAACTATACTAAAGGCTGCATAATTTAATATAATTCTTAATCAGATAATTACATCCTAGACTTCGGGATTAATGTTATTAATCATTAGGATTAAAAATCTCCCTGAACTATAACCGGTGGGGATAGGATTAATGAACAACAACAAATTCCTAACGCTTGGAGTGCATGAATTTTGACACTGTTGGATACCGGTGTTCACGGTGTTCAAGATGGAGTTCATTTCGACACCACAGTAGCAAACTACAAGCCGCATTCGGCTCATCAGAGAAAAATATACAGAATTTCATTCATTTAATATTTAATTCATGTTTCAATCTTTGCAGCATATATTTTTATTGTTCTGCTATTCGGCTCAAGTCGTGGGATATTAAATTCATTGTGTTTATTTTCGTAAGTAAAACTACAGGTTGTAATAATCTTTGTGGAAATAAATTTGATTTTAATAATTCTAATTTTGAAAAGCAAGTTACAATTCTTGTGCTGAAAACTTCTTAGATACATCTTAATATTTAATCCTGCATTTTTTCTGCGGAGTGTAGGTACGTAGTCGTTCCTGAGAAACGACATTTTTCTGTTTAAAAATGTTAACATCGAACGTCTGTATACAATTTCATTCAAATTTTGTAATTTATTGTGCTTATCTTACCTCAAAATGGAAATCAGACTAGTCAGTTTTATGGATAATAAATTTCACTGAAGTCTCGGAGCGAATCTGACTTCATATTAAGTTAGGTTAGTTAAGACTGACTGAGCCCGCGCGCCCCTGGCCCGACTTGACCGTGACTCAAGTCGCCATGGCAGCTCGAGCGCACAACACCTCCGCCTCTAGGGCAACCTGCATGACGACGCTGAGGTCGACTTGCCTCTGCAGTACACGCGATCACTGAAAACAATCATAAGGCTGCACGAGGCAGTAAATAATTCTGGCTTGAGTATGTAAATTGCAAACTTTTAATTACTTATAAATATTTGTTGGACCCATCTTAGCACGACGCAGAGATCGACTTGCCTCTGCAGTACACGCGATCATTGAAAACAATCATAAGGCTGCAAATAATTCTGGCTTGAGGTCGTAAATTGCAAACTTTCCTTTCCTTTTAAAAATTTGGTAAGCCCATTTTAGCACGAGTCGATTCGACCCGGCGTCAGATGTCACTGAAGAAAACATCGTGCAGCAGCGCAGGTCGGGATGAAATTTTAACTCTAGAGTGTAAATTATGTTTACATGTAATTATTAAGATTAGTCAGATCCATCGTGTAGCACTGCTAAGGATATCTCGATGGTGAGCACGTCATGTTCGCAAACAACCCTACATTTAAGATTTTAATGCTTTATTACTATGTATTATATTACATATATATTATATTGTACGTATATTATAACCGAGACCTGCATAAATATCTTGGAACTGCAGATAAAACCCGTTTGTTTATTCAAAAAATTTTAGTAGATATGAATAATAAAATATAACCACAAATAGACTTTAAAAGTGATTCAGAGAAAAAAAAACGATTTGAAACTGAAAATTTAAAATGAGGTTAATCACATCCATTAAGGTACAGAAGCTAGTGCTCCAGTTACACGACTGGTGGGAGTTCGATAATTTTTACCTGTATGTTAAAATAACGGGTTACTAATAGCACGGGTAGGAGCAGCCAGCCATGCGGGCGGTAATACGTTAATACTGCAACGCATCCAATTATAAAACGTACGCACTGTCTTTAGACACAAGGTTTGTTAATAATGCAACGAGTTCAGAACGGTTTAAACAGATAAAATAACTGGAAGCTTTTTGACACGACTTAATTCCGTCAATAAACTTTCTTTCGTGATCAACTTAAACTTTTTCAACTTTCTAGTTGGTGCTTGGTGGAGGTAAATGTGGATCACGCGTTGGTCTTAGGTTGAATAAAATGATACAAAAAAGTTCCAAGAAATACCATTATATTTCTAGTAATATATTTACGCATACAATAGAATTCAACAATACTGGAAAAAGTTAAACCACACTGGGTCTGAAGTTTTTCCAGCGCGCGAGAGGGTATGAAGTAATGTGCAGCAAGCAGTTCGCCTAATCATGCAATACATGAAATCCCTAGCACGCCCGCAAAAATTTAACACGATAAATCCCGTAGTGGCCAAATCTCCGTTGTCGCCGTGTATGGTTTAATGCTCATGAAGTGTACAGTAGCATCAGCGCAAGCTTTATCGCACCTAATGTCGCAAGAAAAAAAAAAATAGCCTACAAGATGGAAGGTCTCGATGGTCATAAATTCCAAATAATTCATTGTCCATAAGGGGCAGGAGGTTTTTAATGACGAGTCTGCAAAAGCTTGTCAGAAAGAGGGCCAAGGTAACTGTAACCGAATCGAAGACACTCCAGAAAAGTTAGCTTACACGAGACGTCGGCCATACATTAAGGCCATTTTAATGTAATAATGTAAAATTTATCAGACAGTACACGAGAATTTTATCTGTATTAAGCTCATTCAAAGCATTTATTCATTTGAAACACATTGAAATATATGTGAAAATTAAGCAAATTACCTCAAGAATTACAATTTGCAGCTACCAAGACATCATAGACAAAAGTTAGCAACTCGAAACTATCAGGGGGCCATAAAAGTTCAGAGGCTTCAATATACATGCCAGTCGCCTGCAGAAAAAAGACATGGTCATTAGAACAAAAACTGTTTATCAATGCAAAAACCGTGTATAACTTAATACGTTCCCGAGAATAAGATCTTCATAGAAGACAAAACAAGGATTTATCTGGAAATTTGGTGAATTGAGGGTGAACGAGTGTTCAGAATAATTGCGCCGATACCGAACTTGTGAGTAGCTTTTATAGAATTTAGGTCGATGATTTTCGCAGTTACAAACCTGCATGAAGCACACGCTCATTAATAATTCTATGCATATAATCTTCTAGGAGAACTGGACCAATTACTATTGCCAAAGTATCAAATTTAAACAAATGTGGAAAAGGCGACGAATGCTCATAGCCTCGTTAGAAGAATCACAACTGCTTCGAAGCCAGCTCTACTTTCCATCCTGGAGTGAGAAAAAATTTTACAGCAACGTCGGCAATCGAAGTAGAAAAAGAAAGCAGGGTGTGGTGGAGACTCGATAAAAACCGGAACTATTAAACACATTTGCTTGATACAAGCACTAGAAAAGTTTACTTAAGCTCATTTTCACGTGTTTGTTTCAGTATATGATTTCCGCAAGCGAAGCTCCATTCAATAAACATTACCTAAATTCTATAAAAACCCTTTCCCACGGTCGCAAGGTCGCAAATTTTGCCGAGTCGTAGACAGGCTTCCTTGACCGACAAGCAAAACGTTTTGGCCAAGAAAAATACAGTTTGGGTTAAGATGAAAATATTCATTTATATAGAGCATGAAAACCCGTTGAAGCAGCATGCCAAAATTACAACACTCTACCGTATCAGAAACTATTAGTTTTTAGTTACTGTTCAAATACTTAGAGTTTTCGTGACAGATTTATTTCCATTCAGAAAAGACAAGAAGCTTTTAAAATACTAGAGCTAGCACTTGGTTATTAATGCACGCTGATCTATAATAGAACCCCACATCGGCGCCCAGAACTTCAGCGAAATGTGATTTAGCCTTCCAGTTTGATAACAATAACGTCATGACTAATACACATAGAATTCAGAACAATAACAAATCATAAAATAGGTCAAATGAACTTCATCGCGACATCTACCAAGTTGAGTCATGTACAAAGTTAAGTAATGCAATTACACTACAGTACATGTGGGAAGATGTTCATTATATACGTGCTAAGCGCTTAACGATAACACACGGCGCCTCTCCAGGCCGCTGAGCTCAGTCAAAGCACAGAGTAAATACATTGAGTCGCGTTTACATGGACTGTACAGTGCACATGATTGGAAATGTCAAAAATTTATCCACAGGAAAGCACTTCGACGCAAGTAATAGGCAATTAGGTAGTAATCTTGTACCTGATCACGAGTAAAGGAGCTCTAACAAGTCTCCGATAATCGTATGTTCACATTAGAGAAGATAACTGATACGATTTGTATGTCAGAGACATGGCAGCAACGCCGTGTGACACATCGTATCAAGTAGGACACGTAAAGCCATGACTATTATTTAACGCACAAATATCTAGATAAGTGTCACTAGTTAACAGTAATTATTTAGGTAGTCAGAATCACATTCGTGTTCAATTCTCGCATTATAATCACACTAGCAATAAGTGTAGCACAATTCTAATAACTATGGTTACAAGAACTGGTACAGACATGATGGTATAGTCCAATACAAGCCAACGATAAGCTATGAGAAAATAATGTAAAATAAAATGGCAACTATCAATCTATGCTGGAAAATTTACAATGCAAAATATGGATACATAATTCATTCACGGTAACGCTGAGCCAAAAATGTTGTCTTGACTTCACGATCTTAACTAATCTATACACGACACTTGGCAAGAAATTCAAACGGAAAATAATGCTCAAACTTTGCGCTATTATTCAAAATCACTGCTGGTCGAACTAAAATCCGAGAAGCTGCCTGTAATTTCCAACAAATCGAATGATTAATTTTCATCAAATAAAAAATAACAATAAAATGAAGCTTCATGAGGAATATATGGGCAGCTCTACGGGGCGAATCAATGTTCATTACTGATCAGTGGAAGAATTTCAAGGCACGAGTCCTACAAACAACAGCCACAGCTACATCAACTTAGCCGCACTGAGCTATCTATGCTAAACCCACGCCACTACATCAAAGCTTTATTGCAGAGAAATAGGTAATTCTAGTAACAACTACGACGCTGAACGATAGTGACACCTTGCAATAGCCCAATGCAAGTCCTAGAAAAAATAAAATAACGTGCCTCAAAATTAATTCATAATTAATGACAGGTAAAACTTCTGGATTGAAGAAACACCGTACTACAAAACGCGATTTCTCAAATGAAATGATTTAGTTTACTGATACCTAAATTTTGACTACTTTTTCACTTGTATGCGGCCTATGAACCTAGAAGATAATAGTTGTTCAGAAGAATGGTGGCTAAAGATAAAAGTGGAGCTAAATCAGAATAACCTAACCATCGCTCAGGTCAACAGAATACGGGAGATGTGACCTTCAATTCTATGCAGATTCATATGAAAGAAATTACCCCGAAAACATAAAAGCACGACAGGTACCTACCAAAATACTCTTGTAAATGCAAATTTGTGAATAAACACTACAGAATGTGACCAATGTGTGGGAGGCAAAAAGGGAACAAATGAAATAAATCTCCAGGTTCTAGAGCTGATGGATGGGGAAAAGAGGTCAAATTAAAAATGTACAAGAGAATACAAAGAGAAGGAAAATAGAAGTGATGAGAAGGGCAGGTTAAGACAAGAATAGTTGTGTGTACGCACGAAAGGCAATAGCGAATTTATGGAAGGATAAATTTTAGGTAAATGCCATTGGAAATACTGAAGACAACTAATATAAAATAAAGATGTTTTTAATGAGTAGGTGAAGGCGTGCCAGCTCCATCAGCAGGAGGCTTCATTCCACTGCATGGCAGACAAGTTTCATGTCTACTGAACACAAGTACAAATAAAATCAGTGAAGCTCAGTAGTGAGAGGACACTGAAGTGTTTTTCCTAGTATGCGTTGATATGATACTTCAAATTTCTTCCTTTCTACAAATCTATTACGAATTTTATACATTTAATATCATTTGATGAACAATTATTTATCAATACGAATATCATACACTAAATTTTATATGATAAGCGAATGACTACAAATTTGTGCACCTTTAGCGATTCTTGTTTACCATCAAACTAAACGTGTATCACATTTCCATTAGAGATGCAATACAGGCCGTAATACAACATCAACATGGAAGAGCACGCTAGTGAAATTATCATTGGATGAAACATCTTCTTTATAACTGCAACATTATTTGATGGCATCAACATCATCAAAAACGATACATTCTGGTGACTACGATAGCACCATGCAGCAACATACACGATCAGCACGCAGCTGCATACACGATCAGCACGCAGCTGCATACACGATCAGCACGCGGCTGCATACACGATCAGCACGCAGCTTCATACACGATCAGCACGCAGCTGCATACACGATCAGCACGCAGCTGCATACACGATCAGCACGCAGCGTCATACACGATCAGCACGCAGCGTCATACACGATCAGCACGCAGCAACATACACGATCAGCACGCAGCAACATACACGATCAGCACGCAGCAACATACACGATCAGCACGCAGCTGCATACACGATCAGCACGCAGCAACATACACGATCAGCACGCAGCTGCATACACGATTACCACATGATCATCAATACATCCATGCAGTGGGCACTGCAAACGGTTCAGTCATCAAGCAAGAGCTGCATGGTTGCAAGATAAAGATCCACAATTCAGGCCTCCTCTATTTGACCAGAAAGTTTTCATCAGCTGGCCCCGCAGCTGAGCAAGTTGCTGTGAGAGATGAACCGACATGAAGCGTTCGCAACCTCTCAACGGTACCTGCAGCTCCCAATCCACCATACTTCTTCTCCTGCAGTACAAGACCAGTTTTGCCGCCCCCTCCTCCCGCCCTTTCACTCGCTGAAAGTGGCGGCATTTCTCCCACAACACCATCCATCAGAAGTTCGTTCCCATTCTCTGGATTGCAATCGTCATTTCTGTCTTGCCTCAAACTATGTTTGAAAAGTTCATAGACGGTCCAGGATATCGCCGTGCTAGGCATCTGAAACAAGACTCGCGCTTGGAGGCCTTTGAAAAATCCCTTGAAACCTCCCATCACGTATATTGTCCGCAGTGCATTTCTGACCCCGGAGATGCGAGATGCACGAATTTGGTTAAGTGTTGAGGTTTCTTGTGTGTTAAGCAGCGTTTTGCACACGTCAAGAGGAGTTGTGACGGCCGCACCGATCGCCCCTGCAACTGCACCAGCCGCGCAGTGCACCGGCGCATTATATTCTCTGGAAGGATTAAAAAGCTTCTGCATTTTCTCATAGACGACGAGGAGAATGGCGTGGTTGGGAAGGTTCATCATGAGCTGTGTTGTGTATGAGCGGTAGAAGGCACGAATTCCTTCCGTCCGATACAACTGCTGTGCACAATTGAAACAAGACGAGTAGGGACTGTTGTACATTTGAAGGCGTTGTTTAATAGCTGAAAATGACGGAAAAAATTCAGGTTAAAGTCATGCAAAGAAAAAGTATGTGTAAAATTTTCACACCAATTGTTGGAAAAGTATTTTGAAAAATCTAGATACAAATATATGCACTGTCACTATTAGTTGAAGATCTCTACCAGTGATTTCCTTACTAAGCTTGTCAATGTATCTTTGCAATTATCAATTTTCAGAAAAAAAAGGTAAAATTTCTCACCATCAGCAGGCACCATAACAGCATCATGGAGCAAAGTAGCACCACAGCCAGCAGCCGCTGAAAATTAAGCTCTAGTCAGGTAAGATTTGAAATAGATTAAACACATATAAAAAATTTTTTTTAACAACTGTATCAGATGATTTTCTTGTGCATTATGTTGTGTGATAAATAGATGACTTTATACCTACTTTAACATTCTCTACTACTTTCTAACATTCTCTACTTTATGTTGCTGTGAGAGTCCTTCTTTGGGTCCCTCTCCTAAAAAACCTTAGAGGACCAAAAGGAAATTTAGCATATATTGAAATCTTGGATTGATGAAAATATTATATTAACTATCATCAATGCTCACTTCATGGACAATATTTTCATGCATTGGTATACAAGTGCAGAAACTTCTAAAAAAGCTGGTAGGCACTAGCTTGTTACCTTGTCAAGCCTGGTTCAAACAATCATAATTTTAATTCAAAGTTCCTTAATTTTAATTCAAAGTTCCATAAGTTTAATTCAAAGGCACAAACCATATAATAATAATAATAATCAATAATAATCATTTTGTTGACTTCATTGAATAATTCAATCAATCATCGTTGACTTATTCAATGTCTTATTATGTCTCCTAAGGAAGTAAGTAGGCATATAACCTAAGAACCTGCATGTGAATAAAATAGTCAATGCAAGCTATGCTTAACACGTTGACTACGTATTGGTACATATGCGTACCACGAAATGTATTTCTCCAGGACGTAGTGGTACATAATTCAGGTTGCCTAAAATCGGCCAAATCCGAGAACAAAAAAGGCCGATAATTCAATGTATACTAGTTTATTTGTAGGTTCCGCTATAAAAATTCCATTTATTTTCTGTTTGCAGTATTTAAAATTTAATTAGGAAGTCCCCCTATCATAAATTTTAGCCGGCCAACGAATTGAGAAAAACTAAATCACGGAATTTGTCCGGAAAAAATGACCGTCTGGCAACCCTGTTTAAAAAAAGTACAAAAAATGAAATAATTGTACAAGATGAAGCAATCGTAGTCAAAGTGTTAAATAAATAAATCTGTATGGAATGATATTGTCATGTACTGTGGCAAAGAAAAATTGTACACACTAATAAAAAGCAAGGGGAATACCTTGATTACCAAATTTATGCCTATATACCTTGTTGTTGATTAAAAAAATGTAGTTTAATTTTAAATGAATCCAAGTCAGACAGGAGTGTTCAGTAGGCACTCCGTATGTTGAATAGAATTCGGAAACCAAGTATATTTCAAGCAATCTATTAATTCACATCTCCATCAATAAGACAGAAAGATTGACAAAAATGTGTTAACAAGCATTCACTTGCAAAAAGCCTTCTCAAATTAAATGAAAATTGAATTAACTTCAGTAACAGGGCATGGAAGCATAGATAGCAATTTTTCAAGAATAGCAAGTGATTTTCCACAAGTCATATAGTTCATACCTAATGTTCAATGTGTTGAGAATGTTTGGGTACGTACCATGCAAATTCACAACAAATTCAGGGAGCTGTACAAGGCTAAGGTTCTCTGATATTTTCAACTGGTAGAATCATGCACAGATCTTTTAGCATCAGGTATATAAATGATGGATAATACTATAGAGCTGTCTTGTTTTATGAATGGATCAAAAGCCAATCAAAAGAGACTTTGTTGACTTTTGTAAAAACTCAACAAACCAGTAGCTATTAGGAATACCGTAAAATGGGGTAACTTAGACCACTTTTTTTGTTATAAATGATGCCATTTTTTTACTAGCTAAATTAAACTTGAATTGAAACATGCAAAATACAGGTCTATACTCTAGCTTCACTCACCATAAATTGCTGGCTCCTGCCTCTCATAGTCTTTATGTAATTTCAAAAAAAGTGATGGTCTTTGTTACCCCAGCTCTTGGGGTAACTTAGACCAGGTGGTAAAATCAATTATATTTTTTGGTAAAATAACTCCAGGTTTTGGTGCATTGTAGTAGAACTCTTCTAGTTACATATGCAAATGACAAACTTGAGGAAAGTGTCATAGTTTGCAAATGGGGGGCACCGCCCCATGATGAGGGAAATGTGACTACCTAATGGCAGCCCTGATGGGGTAATATTGACTGGCTTGGAAATTAAGTTAAAATTACCATATATAAGACTCTGTAGAGTCTGAAACATAAAGAAAAAAATAAATAGGCTGTCAAACATAAAATATGTTATTTATGGTAATTTTATATTAACTTTCAAGCCGGTCTATGTTACCCCGTCAGGGCTGACATTAGGTGGTCTAAGTTCCCCCATTTGGGGGCGGCACCCCCCATTTGCAAACTATGACACTTTCCTAAAATTTGTCATTTGCATATGTAACTAGAAGAGTTCTACTACGCATCAAAACCTGGAGTTATTTAACCAAAAAATAAAAAAACTGGAGGGGGTACTCTGACAGGCTTTAAATAATAGCTTTTTTTTGTGGGTCACATTTTTAATTTTTTAACCTATTAGATATGCAAACTTTTCAAATCTTCTTATTGTGTTATGTAGCCTCAGTACCTATTAGGCCTCTAATGCCCATTGACAAAATTTTTCTATGTCAAATAGTTTCTCAGTTGTGGGGGATTTTGTTAAAAAAATGAAAAGTGGTCTAAGTTACCCCACCGGTCTAAGTTACCCCATTTTACGGTACCTATATTTTGAAATGCTACAAGGGAAAACTTGTTGACAAATAAGTAAAAAATTTCTAACTTGCTCATGTGTAATGTATGGTACTCTCTAAGAGTCAGATATATACACTGTGCACAAAGCCAAGACATGAGGCTTTTTTTACCAAGGCATGCCATGCACTGAGGGGCACAGGAAACTGGTTCTCACCATTTGCTGCATGGTCATTGATGTAGTTCTTGGAGCCTATGTTTTTCTTGATGCCTTCAATAGCAGAAAAATATAAAGCATGTGCAGGTCCCGCTCCCATGATAACAGCATTTACTCCTCTCACTGGCCGCCAAATGCCTTCATTTGTGATCATTTTGCTGAGACCATCACGGACATTGTGATAGGAAGCCTCTGGTGATGGAGCAAGGCACTGCATCCTTGTCTGAAAAACATATAAAATTTTTACAAAGGAAAATTATATCCAAACTATTTCACAGAATATCAGGAATTAGCAATAAAGGAAACATCTGACAAAAAATAAATTTGTACAATGCTAGAGGATTGGAATTTTCTTACCTATTAATGAAATTGCTTGGCTCCAAATTAACAATTGTCATACTTTAATAACATACTTTAATAATAACATAAGGCCTGATTGTGCACTTTAATTAACAATTTGATAGAAGCTAATTCATCAAGCAGAGATTTCACAGTTAAAAAAATGGTGGGAATATTAGTTAGGAACAGGTTCCATTAAAAATTTCCAATGCCGACCACCAAAAACGGATTTCAGATTCTTAATCTACACTCCAAAAAATATATAATTAAAATAAACACCCTTTTTTTTGGGATGCACTTAATCTAAAGTAATACCACATTTTTTAGCCACAATTTTTAAAAATCATAAATAAAACTATTATTTTCCTGCAATTTTATTTTTGGACAATTCAGCCTAATTTTCTAATTTGAGCCTCAACAATTCATTTTAGGTATTCAAGTTTCAACTGAAGACTCAAATCACTTATTAATCCAAGAGAAATAGCTAATACCTAGCTAAATGAAAAATACATTTTCTAACAACAATCAAATAATATTGTATAGGCAAATTTAAAGCAATGTACTTATTTCATGCATAAATAAAAGATCAACAAATTTAATTTCAAATGATTAGCTATAATATTAGCTAGGCCCATCATTATTTTTGAAATTTTGATAGAGGTGGCAAATAAATGTAGGTAGGTAGGTAGGTAGGTTAAGGTAGCTAAATTAATTCTCAATAATATTACGTCATTGACAATACCTAGGTAGTAAAAATTCAAGTTTTTAAAGATCTTATTCTTAGGGACAGGGTTAGTGTTAGTCATTACACAGACAAGTATTCTTCCGTAGCTACAAAAGAATAAGAAAAAATCTCAATTTCTTACCTTTACAGAATCGATGGGATACATTACAATATGCTCAAAAATGCCAGCCAGAGCTCCGGCACACATGACAACTCCAATCCTGTCATCGTTCAACTTTTCGTAGTCGTCAAACTCCATAATATATATTTTTATGAGCTTCACAAATATATATTCACATAATTTGAATAGATGAATTTACTTTAATTCTATCCAACACCAATTTAACAAAAGAGCAAGGTTTGGTAACCACAGAACTTATTCCAAAATCGCAAGTATTGCTAGAAAATTGTCGAATAATGAGCTTCAGAAGCATGCGTTACAAGGAGGAATACTTTGTTAGATGATAATCATAGGTCGAAAACTAAAGTTGTTATGTAATCAGCAAAACGCACCGGTCTTGAGTTAAAATTCAAGAATAATTCTGGTTCATACTATCCGTTGACTATTACAGCTCACGTAAACAGAATTAGTATGAAATACAATTCATGATTAGTGTGGAATGCGACTCAAGTTTGCTCGATATAGGAAATGATAACTGATATGTGCACTATGATTATGGAATATGCACACAAGGATTAGACAAAATAACGGAAAACCTGAAAAAAACACAAAATATATTTTAGTATAGTGTAGCATGGTTGAACTAGATATCTATGTTGTTTTGCCTGCTTTTTGAGGAAGTGGAGTCGTCCTCCATACACCGCAACGCTCAAAACTAGATATCTACTAGTTCAACCATGTAGTGTAGGTTCCATCTTTTGCGGCAATAACAGCCTCAATTTTCCGAGTTATTGATTTATTCAAATTGTGTGCAATTTTAAAACATTCTTCAATTAAAACTCCTTTTAGCTCTTTTAAAGACGATGGCGGCTTGAGACGGCTTCTGACTTGCTTATTTGAAACCAACCATAAATTCCAGGTCTGGTGTTTGTCGTGGCCAAATTGTCTGGTGTTTGTCGTGGCTCAACATCATTAAAATGTTCCTCGGGCCATTTTTTAACAGCTGTATAGATAGATCGGAACATTATCATCTTGATAGATGGCGTTCCCCTCCGCAAACAGTGCTCGAACCATTGGATGAACTTGGTCCTCCAAAATTCTGATATAGTCAGCGGTGTTGATACTTTCATGAATAGAAATAATTGGTCAGTCGGATTTACATGAAATATCACCTCAGATCATCACAGATCCCCTGCCACGTTTTGCGGTTGGAGGAGGTAGTCGGGATTAAATGGCTCCTTCTGCTGTCTCGGGAAAACAAGGTAAACATTTATTCCTCACAGAAAATCACATATTTACATTGCTCGAGGGACAAGTCCTGGATGTTTTTTAATTAACCACTCGAAACGCTTCGAAGCATTTGTATTTAAAACCAGAGGTTTCCTAATTGCAGCTATTCCATAGAATACAGATCTTTGCAGCTCTCTACACACTCTTTCTGTAAATTATCTTCATGCAGCAATTTTCACAACCGTGGTCTTTCGATTGCCCCTCACAATTCGATTTATTTAATGACGGTCTCTCTCAGACAACTACGACCTTCGGCCAGATCTGTGCTTTACTGAGGACGTTTTCCCTTCTTTTTCGAAAGCAGTCATTACATTTGAGACAGCACCTCTATAAATTTAAAGCATTCGGGAAGTGTCTGTAAAAATAGCACATGCCATACAAGCACGAAAAATTTGGCCTCTTTAAAAGTCATAGAGGTTTGCCATTTATAGGTTATTACTCTTAGACACGAAAAGTTACTAATAATATATGTGCAAGGAAAAAATATCAATTAACAGCAGCTATAAAAAATAATACCATGTCACGATTTCATTGTTTATAACATGCACAAAAATTACGGCAGCCAAATTTTTTTTGCCAAACCAAGTATATCTATCCTTTCTCTCTAAACCAACTAAGATAGGTATATTTATTTATGAGATTCAAATTAGACATCACAAGGAACGAAAGTAAATAATGCAGAAAATTTAAGAAATTTTCGATGTGAGATAATTTCTTAGAAATGCAATTATTGCGCGGAGTTAATGAGAGCATCAGAGCACTTGCACTTCCAATGAAGCTAAAAGACCAATACTATTGTTCAGGTACATGATTTTCACACAATGTGCCTCAAGCATAATAATTCGTATTTTTTTAAATTGTATGATTAATATAAATTTATGATCTGCTATATTGTCAGAAACAATTTTTCACGGTCATCATGGCATAATTACTCTTTGCTGTTTCGTCCACCGCACAGTAAGCAAGAAATAATTCTTTTAGATTAACGTTACGAACATGTAACCATTACATCTTACTCTTGAACACAGCCATTTCCCCACCCAGAGTTTGGCGAGACTGATGGAGCAAAGATTGCACAAGTGGCCTGCTCAAATCATTCTGATTTTATCTTTTATCTATTTTATAGTGAGTGTCAGCGAACAAACTACGCAACATCGTCATCATCACCTTATAATCGCTTGCTATCAGCATGTATGCGTTAAATGATCATGATAAAGTGAGAAAATTCGAGCTATCGAGTGATTGACGTGATCACTGAGTGACTGAGAAATGCAATACCGACATATAAAATAAATAAATAATTTCAATAAATTTGCAATAAATAACTGTTGATATAACAATTTGAAGTATTATATGAACTGATGAATTATTGAATTGAATTTTAAACGCAAATGGCCATCGAAAAGCCACTACATAAAATAGTATATCGTCAACGAATCCCGCGCTTTAAAATTGCAAAGGAATCTAAATAGTATAATTTTAGAAATAATATCACAAGTACAAGTTATTCACTCGTAAATTGAAGGAATCAACGTAAATTTCCTTCCTCCTGGAGCAGATCGAGAGTCGGAGGCATGAGGATTTTTTAGACGAGCATCAACTGGAGCCTGTGGAGGTATTGAATGTCAATTGAAGGTCAAGCTGTTGCTAACTGAAATCAAAACAAAGCTCGCGGTAATGGCGGCCATCATGCTGCATACTGAAGAAGTTCACAAGACGAAAAATAATTTGACATGACAGATCTTTCCAAATGTAAGTAAGCTTCAACGGCTGGCTTTCGTAAGCGACTAAAATATCGTAAGATCTTCTATGTAGTTGGCAGACAATACAATCTGACGTCATTGTGAGCTTCCCGCCCCAATCTGATGTATCCGTGGGAAAGTCTAGTGTCCACTCCTTCACAGTGAAAATTTGCACCTGCACGACTAGGCACGACAGTTTGGCCAGCCAGGCCGTAAATTCCTAAACTTACGAGTAATGAGGCTTAATTTGGACGATAATGCCATGGATAAGGTGTTAATATGAGTAACTATCGACAAATAGGTCCCAAATATTCCCCTTCTTTAATTATTATCCTTATTTGTGAAGACGAATTGACAGCAAAGGAGTCCTCGCAAATAAAAAATTAATTTATGCTGAGTAACGTAAAACACACATGAATTTGATGATTTTTGATGCACCTCGTTTTCTGCCCATTTACTTTGGCGACAGATTATGAAGTTAGCAAGTCTAGTTAGGTAGCTTACCATTACCAGCCTTTACATTCAGAGTAGTTCAGACTAGCAAGGGGATTTCTAAGAGTGGCTCTCATTGCTTGGCCGGTTGGATGCAGAAGGCTACACTTGCTTCTTCTTCTCAATTTTCAATAGGTGAACAAATAACCTACAGCAAATCAATATGGCATTACCCTACATTGTGTATTAGCGCAAATAATCATTACTATATTTCAACTCTACTCCTTGAGACAGTTGAGATACAATTCTATCTCTAGCCTATCACCACAAGAAGTTAGCCTGAAGTTTCAGAGGAAGTGGCTTGTAACGTTACATCAGCCGGACTGACCGAACTGAACGTTTCTGATATGAATGTGTATGATGAAAAACGGTGAAACGCTCTCAATGTCATCAGCACTTCAGCCGTCCAGATTACACTGATGACTCACACCCTTCGCTAGCAACAAACAAGGTTTTGAGGGAACAAACTTATATCTTTGCCATGTCAGCGGAATGTTGACGATGTGCCAGGACCAGCAACTTTCAAGTCTTCAAGACAGACACCAGCAACTTTGTTTCAAGAGTACTGACGGTGTCTGTCTCTCTAATGCAGATTTCAGCAAAGATACAGTTAGCGCTAGCCAAAGAAACACAAATCCAGAGATAGCGAGGCAATGAAACACGAATTTTTTGAAGAATCATCATTTAAAAACGGAAGTAGTTTGCAACAATTTCTGTTTATTTAGAAGCGTAGGAAATTTCCATGCATTTACTTCAAAAAATGGCGTATGTATTAATAAGATTCTGTAACGAAGGTAAAAATCTATAATCGAAGGTGAAACGTCGTCGAAGAAAAAAAAATTTCCTAGAGTTTACGAATATTTATTATGGAAAAAAACATGCGACGTCACCAAATTATAATAATCTAGAGCGATACTATAAATTAATTTAATAAACCTTTTCAGGACACGATACGTACCAATAACTTGGAATTTACTGTTCGCAACAGTGTCGCTCTGACCTTTTGAGAAACTCTCTCTGGTAATATTGTACAGATGCCCAGAGTGTTCATTTCCGTGAACGTCCCAAATTGTTAATAAATAAATTAATATTATTTGTAATCAATAAGCTTTAATAGATAAAAGTAAACAGAGTTACATCGACAAACGCGGCAGAATTGGAGAAAATTAACTTCGTCACACTAAAAAGAAAATGTTAGCCATAAAAAGCTCAGAACCTCATGCTCATTTACTTCACATTTCATCAATAATCAAAACGGGAGTGTCGAATATCAAGAGAAAAATCGAACAGTTTATCCATTGGGAATACCGTTGCCTCACATGACCATAGGAACAACCAAGCAGCTGTAATCAAGGCAGGTGACTTTTATGCGTAAAGCAGATTCTGAAACAAGAAGTAACTGAGGGGACTCGTCGAGTAAAATCATTCCACCCGGCATCATAGAACATGTCAATTCAGAACAATGCAGCACAGCACGAATTTCGCACAATCGATGTCATTTATTAATGTGAAATGGAATGCCCAACCATTTTATCTACACGAACTGCAAATTTCAACGGACAAAGTTAACCCTTTGAAATAAATTTAACTCCAATCGTAATACAGCAGATTAGCTTCAATTTCGGCCCAGTTTTTTTACAGTTCGAACATGCCGAGTGAAATGCTTTACATGGAAGTAGACTTGAAGTACGAAAAAAGCAACAAATTATTGCTATAACTAAACCTAGTCAATGAGACCGCGTGCACCTGGCATTAGAGAACATATTGCATCTAATTTAATCTCGAAACTACAACTTACTAAGAGCTAAATTATACTTGCATCTAAAAACTATGTTAAATTACATGTGTCTGTCTCGCTTGATGTTGTCGTTTTTCCAGGGCGGAGGAGCGAGGTGATTGTCTTTTTTGACGCCCACCTTGCGAGCGTCTGCAGCGCCAGAAGTCACACCGGAGGCAGGCGGAGGGCCGCTCGTCGTGGTGTTGTAATTCCCAAGATTTCCATAGGAACCGTCGTAACTTGTGCCGTAACCGTAAGCATTGCTGTTGTTGCCGTAACCGGAGTTTGAGTTGTTGCTGTAAGCGCTTGCTGCTTGAGATGGAGGAGCCGAGAAGGATGCAGTATTACCAGCCGATGCGTTATTGAAATCTGTAGGCGGGTAGTTCCCGTACGGCGCAGAGCTTGAAACTGAAGGAGGAGGTAAACTATAACCTCCGTACGCGTAACTTGAAGTAACTCCGCTGGTTATTGATGCAGAAGGAGTACTGACGGTGCTGTTGATCTGCGACACGATGTCCGTGACAAAAGACATTAGGTAGCCCCAGGAAGGGAAATATGACATCACATTTGGAGTGCTGATGTGGAAATTCTTCTCAAGCACCGACACAAACTCAGCCTCGCATCGCTTCATAGCCTCGTAGTATTGCCGCAACTGCAAAGAAAATAGAAGAACACGGTTCAATATGTACGTAGTTCAGTTGGTACGCTGAAGCTAATTATTGGCAGGGCAATAGAGTGTAAGCTATACAAGGCCAAGGATTAACAATTAAACAAATAGAAAAACTGCGAGAGGTTTCTAAATACATACTTTATTAATTATTGTTAACAAGCATCAACAAGGTCATAGAGCTCATAAATCGAAAGCAAAAGCATAAACAAATCTTGGCACAAACCTTCCAGAAAATATATCCGAAATCATACCTTGGACTCGAGGTATTCTTTTTTCTCGACAGCCAAGTTGGCTTCTTCCTTCCCAGCCTGTGCCACTTGCAGCTTAGCTTCGAGTTCGTCAGACTTGCGCTTGAGTTTTATTTTCTCCTCATTGACGGTGGCGAGCTCCAGGTTCAGAACCTTCACAGAATCTCGCATTTCATCGCACTCGCGGCGCGCAGTGCTAAATTTTGCCTGCAATTCAACATTCCAGTCGCTGATGCTCTTAACTTTAGCACTGAGCTCAGCGTGCTCCTGCTGCAGCATGGACATCTGCGGAGGCAGGCCTGAACCACTCGACTTCATGTAGTTCAGTTGCTCCTGGAGTTTGGCATTATCCATGTTAAGTCGGTCAATGTCGGTTTTGAAACGCGCGCTGTCTTCGCTAATTATGCGCCGCAAGTCCATGTTTTCCCTAGTCAATTGGTCAACTTCCCGCGGCATGACATCAGGCAAAGACTTAGGGAAGCCATACGGATCACGTGGCGGTGCAGGCTGCTGCCAATCATAGTCACGCCGGCCAGGCTCGTGCTCATAGTCATGGAACGGAGCCGGACGAGGCGGAATGTCAGCATCCAACGGCGGCGGAAGACTGGCTGAGGGTGGAGGAATTTCGGGATTCGTGCGCCGACATTTCTCAAACACCATTTGACAGATCACGTGGAACATTTCCTCTTCGTATTCGCGCTGCGACACATGCCGGTATCGGCACACGTCCATAGAACATTCGCCGCTCTGCATGAACAGCTGTAAAACGAAGTGTATTACCGGTTACGCTCGTCAAAAATATCAGGAGCATGCGACAGTGAGTGGATACAGCGAGATATTTCAATGATTATCAAATAGAATAGAAAGTCGGGGTATAATTAACCACAAACTTGGAGTCTGGCAAAGTGAGAAATCGTGTCTTGTGGCATGTGACATGGAATTCAAGTTGATAACCCAATGATGGTTATCGGAGGCATCGAGATTACCTTGCACACAGGTCTGCTCTTGAGCAGCTTGGAGTCCTTCAAAGTGATGCTTATAAAATGCTGCCATAGCTCACGGCGAACAGTGCCAGTCCTCAGGAAGTATTCCTCATCGTCAGTAGTGAAGTGAAGAAACCTGGCACAGAAACTGGTCTGAAGATCAAGCTTGCTGCAGACGTTCAAGGATTGTATAAATTCAATATAAATTGTAAGTCAACATTTTTCTTAATCGCAGAAAAAATGAATTCATGGTAAGCATAGTAAATGCTTGAGAATATAATATTCTATTTGTATTCCTACTGTTACATATTTATGCAGGTTCAGGCATTTTAAAAGCTAAATAGCAGTAAAAATATTATCAACAACTACTAAATTGAAACAAAGATAGTGTATCAATGCTAACGAATGTGGCACGTGAGTGTTGCTGTATCTCCTGACTCAAGTTTCCCACCAATTTTTAATATCTGTCCAGGGGTCAGAGCAAGCAATATTCTTGTCAATACCACATAGTATTTTCAACACAAAAGAAATCTTGTAATACTATAATAATGATTAAATAAAATAGGTTTATTTACACACAGGTTAAAGACAACTTTCACATGAAGAAATAATTACAATGCCAGCATCAAATCAGGAGACAATGTATGAATTTTAATACATATCAGAGACACTTAGATAAAGAAAAAATTAGGTAAAATCAAATGAAGTAAGATATGTGATAAGGAATAAATTTTTGTCTCTAGTGTTGATCATAGAATATTAAATGAAACTGAGGTAGGTATTAAGAAGTTCACTGTGGAATAAACTCCATAAGAATGGTTGAAAGACATCTACAGGGTTGTAGATCAGTGGTAATCTGAAAGAAAGATATATTCATTTTCAGCATCTCTCAAATAAATTGAATTTCATCAGAAGCGCTAATATGCACAATACAGACGCAGCCGTAGCCACATTGGTATATACCTATTTGATTTGAGTCCTTCATAAGAGGACTCTAGGATGACTGTCATAATATAGGTATTCATCAATTGCTTCTTAGTCATGAGGTTAGACTGCATTTCAACTTATCCCACACAGAGACACATGTTAAAATTTGTAATGCATTCTTCCTCTCAGCATTTCTGACAAATGGGCAGTATTTGGTTTGAAAGCACATTTCAATTTAAGTCATGCAGAATTGTCTATTTATTTTTTTTTTAATTTTGAGAACACATCTGATACAGGTATTCATGTTCTGATTCGTTCAGTTTCTTGGACAAAATATTATCTTCTTCCATTACATTGCAAGCAATTATCCAATTCAGCCATAAATAAAGCCAGAAGAATGCATGATCTTTAGGTATTTTACATGGAGATACCAAGATTTTTACCAATTAGATTGATGAGAAATAAATGAATAAAAAATCCTCTAAAATTTTGCAATGCCAGCACAAGGTATCACTTTTTAAATTAAAATAGCAGACTGCCATGCTGCCAAGAAAGTTAGCACTATATGTTCGAGTTGCTTTTGCATGCAGGAATATGCCATAGTGCAGTCTAGCCAGTCTTGCAGCTAGCTGAGCCTGCGCGTCGTGATTCACTGAAGTATTGCAATAGTAGTAGTAGGCACCTGCAACCCTAAATTTTCTGCAATGAAATATTTCAGAAGCAATTGCAAAAGCAATTCAATGTGAAATAAATCTTGGGAGATTTGCTTGAATTGTACCAAGAAATGATTCCACTTATACTTAGGCAGCTTCATTAGTCAGCATTCATTAATACCCAGCAGCTGCTCGCAATTCATTAAACGCTTTGGCTGAAAAACTAAGCATATACCAATTCAAGCACATGGCTGAAAGTATAATGCCTTGGCATAATTTCTTTGCTTATAACTATCTATGCTAATTTTCAGCTTTTGGTAGAGGTTTCTCAAGTAAATTACCATCCAAAATGAAATTGATGACGTATTACATGTAAAATTTCCTGTTTTCCGATTGAATAGAGGAGTGATGGCTCATACATGATGGCATTTAGGAGCATTGCACACAATATGAGTTCCAGAAAAGGCCATCTTTTGCAGAAATTATGTTTGTATTAAAATTTCACTTTTGTTGCACTGCAAATTAGAAATGAGAATAAAAGTTTGTTAATTTTGAATAAAAGTGCTTTTCACATAAGCTTTCCTTTAATGTTCTCGAATCTAAACCCATTTCACACAGGTAAATCAATTTGCTTTTTGCACAGATTATCAAAATGACAGATGTACTAGCATGGCATGGAAGGACACCTGTTCACCATGAGAAACTAATGATGGAAACCCATGAGCATGACTTCCCCTGTGCTTTAGTGCTAAATTGACGGGAAAAGCAGCAGTGCACTGCTGGGCACAGCAGCAGAAGTGAGAGAGCAGCATGAGTAACTGACCTGCAGTCATAGCGCTTGCAGTTGCCAGAGCGGTAATCAATGCAGAGCTGTGGCCATGGCAGGTCCTCCTTTTCGCCATCGGAGGGATGATTATAGCGGCAGTCTTTGCCACGATAGCACATGTTGCGCAGGAAGTCGCGGCAAACTGTTGGCGGGCCACTACTCTCCATCTCGGGCAAAGGGCTGCGGCTGCGCTCGCGCTCCCTATGGGCAAGCTCAGGGCGGCTAGCTCTTGCTTCCTTGTACTCAGCTGAGTCAACTTCCGGGTGAATAAATTTGCAGCCTCTGCGCTTGCACGAGTAAAAGATGTAATCACGACAAAAATTGCTGGGAACTCTGTAGCGGCCTCGACCCCCAGCCCGATTGCGATTTGCGTCATTTTTTCCTGAATCATTAGCTAGGCTTTCACTACTGCTATTAGCATTGCCGCTGCCACTGCCACTTGTATTTTTATTGCCATCCATACCTGAATCAGAACGCTCAGCGACGAATTTGCTTTCTTTACCACGAGTTGATTCACAAGAGGCATCCTCCTCCTCTTCTCCACGAGGCTTCGTCATTGTTGCAGCCCTGGACAGGAAAAGACAATTACCATTTAATAATAAAACATGAAACATTCTAAGAACATAATTTTCATGAATTTCACATATTTCCCTATTTTAAAAGACTATGGCTCATAATTAAGTTCATATATATACTTCTTGGATGATCAGCAAAAAGGTCAATTTGTATTTGGTGGTGGCTAATAATACGGAAACTGGGAGATAGGTACCAATGAGGATAAGATAAGAAAATATAGCCAGGCCATAAGTTTGTTGTAGAATACCTATAGGAGGAAGCTTCTTTTATGACTTTATAATAGTTTTTTTTTTTTCAAACACATTTTGTGAACTTTTGAGTTAGTTAAAAAAATAACATCAGAAATGCAATTTAGTTTAAGAGTTTTTCAGTGAATCCCATCACAAAAATATTTAATAATAATAATTTTTAATAATGATAATCTAAATGAAATAAAAATTAGTCTAAATAAATTCTCTCGTGCAGGTGTCAGCCAAATTCCATCCATTGATTACATGCTGAGCAGTTTAGCGCAAATACAACAGACAAAAAACTTAAAATATTTAATATGATTTTAATTATCCAGCAATAATACTGTAGATAATTTCTCTTGATATGGAAATTTGGTGAAAGTAAGAAATCTAGAACTTTATTAAGAAGAAATTTTCTCCATATCATTACGATTATCTAATAGGTTAAAAAATTAATAATGTGACCCATGAAAAAGAGCTATTATTTAAAGCCTGTCGGAGTACCCCCTCCAATTTCTTTTATTTTTTGGTAAAATAACTCCAGGTTTTGATGCATTGTAGTAGAACTCTTCTAGTTACATATGCAAAAGACAAATTTTAGGAAAGTGTCATAGTTTGCAAATGGGGGGCACCACCCCCCAATGGGGCTTGAAAATTAAGTTAAAATTTCCATTGGTACCTATATAACATATTCTATGTTTGATACACCTATTAATGTTTTTTTCTTTATGTTTCAGACTCTACAGAGTCTTATATATGGTAATTTTAACTTAATTTCCAAGCCGGTCAATGTTACCCCATCACGGCTGCCATTAGGTGGTCATATTTCACCCATTGGGGGGCGGTGCCTCCCATTTGCAAACTATGACACTTTCCTCAAATTTGTCATTTGCATATGTAACTAGATGAGTTCTACTACAATGCACCAAAATATGGAGTTATTTGGAGTTATTTTAACAAAAAATAAAATTGATTTTACCACCCGGTCAAAGAAACCTAAAGAGCTGGGGTAACAGAGACTATCACTCTTTTTTAAATTACATCAAAACTATGAGAGGCAGGAGCCAGCAATTTATGGTGAGTAAAGCTAGAGTATAGACCTGTATTTTGCATGTTTCAATTTAAGTTTAACTTATCTAGTAAAAAAATGGCATCATTTTGAAAAAAAAAGTGTTCAAAGTTACCCCATTTTAAGGTATGCTGGTAAAGGAATAACAGAGAATATTTGAGTAAGGGAATAGCGGGGACCGTGTGTCAGGTAACAGAGAATGTGAGAGTAAAGGAATAATGGGGAATATGTTAATTAGGGGCACTGCAAGAATGCGTGAACAATGGAGGATGAGCGAATATGATAAAAATCGAGCATTTGTGAACAAAGGAATAATGAGACTTGTGCGTAAAAATTATGGTAAATATATGATAATTATGATGATAGTGTGTGATGAATCGGTTTACCCATAATCATTATCATATAATATGCTGAAAAAACAAATTTGCTCAACAGCATATTTTTGGATAGAGAATATTTATTATCGGATTCTTATTTGATTCTCTTGCGACAAGGCTACCAGCAAGCGACTAAAAGTTTCAACTAACCTATTATTATAGATAATGCTATAATGAATGCCTAAGCAACTCTTGGAGTATGTTTCTATGCTGAATCAATGTATATAATGTTCAAATTAATCCGTGAATAAAATTCTGAAACAACATTTTCGAAAGCTGTTTGCATCTCTACACAGTCATGCAGAAGCTCCACACAGCAAGAGATCCAAAAATAAGCTCGCTCAGGCCTCAAGTGGCAAACTATTACCTAAAAATGTTGACGTTTTCGTAAAATTATCGATAACAGTTATGAAAAACATCAACATTCTTAGCTCATCATAAAGGGTAAGAAATTTTCTATCAGATAGCTTTTTCCATTGGTTCTTGGAGCGAGAAATGGTGTTATTTTTCTGTCGTTTAGAGAAGCAGGTTGAAAATCTTGTTCAGAATTGTTTGGAATTAAACTGATTCTACAGCCTTCAAAGCTAGAGCAAGCAAACGTGTACGTGCGCAGCATGTCTTGTCCACAGGATTAGCTGCAGCTCTGCTGATGGTGTGTAAGCAATTTAATCTCAGTGCACATCCTGCTCTGATCGGGTCGGGTGAGTATCTAGGTGTTAAAACTCTCTCAAGCCGCATTCGATAAAGATTAGTTGGCGTGCATCAGCCCTCCGAACATCAGTAATACGACAAAATGTCAGGTCTGACAAAAAGTTGAAAGTGATAAGATTATCTATTTCATATAATGTTGTTGCACAATTGCCATTTGAAATTAGCGTTCCAAAATATTTGCGAAAGATCATAGCCTTGATTCTTGTTCAGAAAACCTTTGTTGACCCCGAAATAAAAAGACGTTCTCCTTTGTCACTATGTGTGAAGGAGAGTCTAAAAAACTGTCTGCTTTGCCACTATTTGTTGCATCACGTGGAGAGTAAAGGATATACTACCGTAAAAGGGGGTAACTTAGACTACTTTTTTTTTAAATGATTCCATTTTTTACTAGCTTAATTGAACTTAAATTGAAACATGCAAAATACAGGTTTATACTCTAGGTTCACTTACCATAAATTGCAGGCTTCTGCCTCTCATAGTTTTGATGTAATTTAAAAAAAAGTGATGATCTTTGTTACCTCAGCTCTTGGGGTATCTTACTTACACTGGGTGGTAAAATCAATTATATTTTTTGGTAAAAAAACTCCAAATAACTCCAGGTTTTGGTGCATTATAGTAGAACTATTCTAGTTACATATGCAAATGACAAATTTGAGGAAAGTGTCCTAGCTTGCAAATGGGGGGCACTGCCCCCTAATGGGGGAACTTAGACCACCTAATGTCAGCCGTGATGGGGTAATATTGACCGGCTTGGAAATTAGGCTACGTTAAAATTACCATAGGACCAGGGTGCAGAGAGTGGAAGCAGCATTGCCAATATATAGGTTTTTAAGCCCAAAGCATTGCCAACCATTTTCAAGATGTGTCCCTGGGAAAATTTTAATGAATAGCCATTTACGCTGAGTAATGAGAAACTATTTACAAGCCACGAACTTATTTACAAGGTTGCATGCACATGTTGCATGCCCCAAATAACTAATTTTACCCTAAAAACAGTCCGAACCCCGATTGTACAGCAAGTGTCAGCTGAACATGTGATAATGCAGTTGGACCACTCTAATGTGACCGCAACTACACAAACGTAAAGTTGTTTACATTTTTTTGGCGGGAACTCATCGCAACTGATTTCCGGACAACTAAACAAGCTTCACTGCATCCTGATCCATCCAATGTACTGGAAACCTTACTTTTTCCAGGGTTGGTGATTTTTTCATTTTATTTTTTTAAAATATCAAAAAATCAAAAATCAATGATTTTTTCTTATTTTTTCACATTTTTTTTGATTTATTTGATATTTTTCAACTTTTTTGTCTTTTTTGAAGTGTTATTTTTTTATGTTGCAATTAGCCTACTAGCAATAACAGTATATAGATCATAATTACGGGCTAACAAGGGCACTTATTGCCTTCAATAATGGCCAACAGGCCAAGATGGTGTTTACCACTTAGGGATTTTTGGGTAAACAATTATTGATAAGTCTATTCATTAGCTTTGTAACGTTTTGTATGGAGCAAGGTAATGAGCTAAATATTGACCATTTAACTGGCTTCAATATACAAAAAAAAACTTCAGGAATGCAGATCTTCTAAACATTGAAGAGTCACATAACAGATAGATAGCTGATAGCACAGTGCACAGCACTGTCAGTAGATCTAATCTACTAGTTTTATGTCCTATAAATCTACCAGACTCTACCCTCTATACACACCGACTAGTAGTGACTGAGTGACTGACTACAGTGTTCCCATTTAATTCAGACCAATAAACCAATACTAAACATAAACTGAACGATAACCAAACAAACCTCATACGACTTGAAACGAGACTAATGTTATGTATGAGAAAAGCTAACACTGTTTGAAATAAACATGTGCACAATTCAAATATTTTATATCCATTCACTGCATTAAATTATTTTATATATAGTCTTATAATTGTAATTGTTTTGTATCTAGTTATAAATTAACATATTAAAAGATTAAAATTAAATATTTGAATTAGAATACTCATATTAGGGTGGAAAATCTTTCTAATTGCCTAAAAGGTCAGTACAATCTCAACCTTTCAATATACAGTGTGGGGCAGAACCGATTGAGCAGTTCTGAGGTAAAATAGAAGAGTAATGGAGGTACATAAAGAAGAAAGTTTATTTTCCTAGAGGTTAGCATAACATACCATTTAGAATTCTTATGTCTCGAAAACAATATCTGGAAGATGGGGGCCGTTAGCAGCAACACACTGTTGGAGTCGTTCTCAGAAGAGAGAGTAACCATGACAGTGATTTCCGATCACTATGCTGCAATGTTGCAAAATTTCTTGCAGCCCAGGATGGAAAACATTGTTGAAAATGAAGCATTGGGAGACGTGTGGTTCCAGCAGGATAAGGCTACAGCTCACACAGCCCAAATGTCACTCCATGTTTTGAAACGCATGTTTCCCGGAGGTCTGGTGTCTCTGAGGGGTGATTTACAGTGGCCTGCGAGGTCACCTGATTTGAGCATTTGCGATTTCTTTGCTTGGGGACATCTAAAAGAAACGTGTTCAGAAGTCACCCTCACACACTACCACAGCTAAGGGGAGATTATTGCAGCAGAGATTATGGCC